AATCTGATGGAGCGAGATCAGGGGAGTAGGGTGGGTGTGGTAAAACAGTCCATCCATACGTCGCTAGCTCGTTCTTGGTCGCACTTGCTATGTGCGGTCTCGCATTGTCGTGTTGGAAATATACTCGAGCGTGCTGTCCTCGTGTGTTTTGGAGCTGAGACTTCAAACGTCGTAGCTGAGTAATGTAAGCCTCGGCAGTTATCGTCGTACCTTCATCCAGCAGCTCCCAGTATTCAACACCGCGTAGGCTCCACCAGATGCACAGCATCACCTTCTTTCCGTGTGCGTCGGGCTTCGGGATGGCTTGCTCTTCTTTGTCTACCCATTGGGCACGGCGCTGGACGTTAGAGTACAAGACCCACTTCTCATCTCCAGTAATGAGATCGTCCAGCCAATGGTGTGTGCGCTTCAGAGTGAGAAGTGAAGGTGCGACGTCGGCCCTGCGATTCATGTCGTGTTGGGTCAGGGCATGGGGTACCCATCGACCAAGCTTCTGGACTTTGCCAATTGACTTCAGCCCTTTTTGTACAGTGACATGAGTAACACCAAGGTTCATTGCCATTTCACGCGTAGTCTTATAAGGATTCGTTTCCACTTCGTCCCGCAGCAAGCCCAAGTCCAACTTCATCGGGCGACCCTTTCGGTCGTCATCTTCCATAGAATAGTCGCCTTCCTTGAACCTGGAGAACCAGCGATAGATGGTGCTTCTAGCCGGCGCATCTTCCTTATAAACATCGTGCAGGCGAAGATAGGCTTCGTTGGCATTGAGGCCTGATTGGAACAGAAATAGCAAAACATGTCGAATATGGATTTCCGAAGGCTTGAAACGGGAAGGCATTTCTGCTGACGATCGATATGATAAACTGATTATCTGAGCTTATCGGATAGAGCTGCTTTTGACCTATCGATTGATACCACATTTGACCTACCAAACTCGTTCTTACTTGTTTTTTTACTTGTCAAAAAAGTGGAGTCAAAAATGTCCGAGAACTTTCTTACCAACCTAATAAATGTTCTCCATTGTTTTCAACCCTTGCCGTCATTGTTGTTGTTGTGTCCTTGACTCCGGACACGTCGATTCTTCGTCCTGAGGGCACAGAAGGAAGCCAATAGATTTATTAAAGAAATAATAGAAAAACAGAATAGATATGAGAGAGGCAAATTGGTGAACGAATCAACTGACTATGGCTAACAGCGAGCGTCTTTTATAGCGCTCATTTCCCGCGCATTGAGGTCGCAGGCGCCTCAGCGAGGGCAGATCATACGAGAAAATAACTGATCAGACACTAACACAACAGTTGTATAGGTTGGTAACTATTCGGGAAGGGCCAAATTTACCGAATGGGTTAATGCTTAGCCTAAATATCTGTACTAGACAGGGGAGAACTCTCCCTGTATGATATAGTAGACGAAGTATTTTACGTTAGGGACACATTAGGCATGCGGTGGACTTCAAATTTACACACGTTAACTTTTGACTGCCTATTTTAGCTTACAATTAAATAGCAGTATAGCATTCCATCTAAGGTGGCAAGGTGGCATACATAAATAGATACTGAATTTGTGTTCAAAATCTCAATTACCCCCCCCCCCCCCTCCCCCTTTCATCCTGCAATGTTCCAACACGAATATTTCGATTCTTTAAATCCTTTAAACATTAAAGGACTTCCTCCAACGTTTTGTGCAGCACTCTGTTCGACTCCTCAAAGTATCCCACCTTGATTTTTTCTCAATATCATTTTCCTATTTCTTAAATTTGATGAGTCATAATAGTAACATTTGTTTTTGTCTTTGTATTCATTGCGTTCCAGTCTCGAATTTCGTGCTCAGACAATGTTCAATTTATCTTGTTTCCAAAAACCAAGCGGCATGATTACACTTGTAGCTAGCTCATGATCTACATAGACCCATTTGAGCCATACAAGCACTGAAATAAATGGACTCAGATGCAAAACTTAGCTGCGGCCAAATACGTTGCCGCGACATCAAAAATGGACTAATCTATTCATACAAGTAAATTATTTATTATTTGCTAAGCTGCAATAACTCTGACGAAATCACGTACGTTTCCATGGTGGGTGATTCGATTCACCCAAAATATACGTCATCCATGACGTATAAAGTGAAGTTTCTTGGAGACATCAATCATAACCTAAGCTTTCGACCTTTGTCTGGCTGCTCTCTGGCGTACTTTGCCTAATCTGTAAGGATTTATTGCTTTTAGATTTGGCAAAGATGAATCGAAGTCGTTGAGGGCAACATCAATCTTTCAACAATTAGGCGCTTTGGAAATATTGTGAAAATTGGTCCTACTTTAGAAGTCTTACTCATTAGCTGAAGAATCAAAAGTCAAAGAATTGAGGAAATTCCTAGAGGTGGAGAGAGGGAAGAGAAGCTCATGTATTATTTTTCCATACAAGGGCGTGGCTCGTACCACTTTTGAGATATTTTCGTTTCAACACTATAATAGAATAAATAATATTTAGAAAGATTTCTGCAGCATTTTTCAATTTTGAAACATTTAGATTTGAGGAAAAGATATTTACAGGTTTTTCTTCTCCTTCTATTTCAATTTTTCTAAATTTTTTCATGCAAACATTTTTTATGTTAACGATTCTGACGGATGACGACCAGTTCATTTAACGGCAAGAACGTCTGCACTATGCTACATATCCTGAACATTCATATCTCAACATTATTTTTTTGGGATGGTGGGGTGGGAGGGGGGGGGGGGAGACGCGGCGAACTAGACTAAGGTATTGATTTGTAATATCAAGCTTTTGGTTTTTTTTAAGCAGACAAGAGTTCGTATCTCCTATGTAGAATTCTTAGACTCTGTAAACTTTGAAATTTCCCAGCCAACAAAAGCCAAATCCAGAAATTTCTTTGTCGTCTGGAAACGACGCATTGAGCTAATCCAGCAAAAAGTCTACACAAAGTCATTATTCTCTGGGATTTATCAAATTCCATGACAAATATCAGCAAAATGTAACAGAGTCAACCAAGACAATATAATTGTGATTGATTTTGACAAAAACAAAATTTTATTTTCAAACACAGTAGAAAATCCAATGTAATCGCGATATATTCTATTTCTGCCCTTGCAGCAGTGGTCCATTCGCATCATGAGTCAAAGATTTATGTTTGTATAATCATAGTGAAAATAAATCTTATTCTAAGTAGGTAGAAGTTATTGAATAAATCATAATAATGTTGGAGGGCGGCCATGAAATAGCCCTATAAGAGCACGAGGGAAACTAAAAACTCAATAAAAACTCAACTAGACTAGGTCGGAGCTGAATTGCGCTTTCAGAAGGTTTGTAGTGTTTTGCTTGGTAATTACACTTTGATTTGAACGTCAGCTTGCAAATACAGAAGTAATTCCATTAATTATTTACACTCTTGATTGATATGCCAGCCAAAGGCTACGAAATCCCAAATCAACCATGCCTTTCTTATTTTCTGTGCTTCGCAAATAAAATATGAAACACAGTGCTTCTGAAATAATAAGCTTGTTTCTTGTCGTCAAATTCGTTGTTTTTATGCAAGCACAATTCCTTTCTTTTCACTAATTTTTTTCACGTTACTCTCAATCAAACTGAAATCTTCTGTATTCATAAAATTTATAGAGACTTTTTTGTTTCTGTCAGAGTAATTAGCTGTTTTTCTAATTCATAATCAATAGAGAGTTGGAGCTGAATCAGTTTTCACTTTCCCACAAAGCTCATTTTAAACGTAGATTCAAAAAATAATTTGTGCTTCTACTTTTGGTTAAAATCTATTGAACTCCTTGACGCTGTTAATCAAAGCAATCCAATTTTCTGATTTGTATTATTTAAAGGTAAATTCAGAAAAGTGAAATTGATATTTTGTCGTTGTTTGTTTGATGGTAGTCCAAGATTGGTACACGTCTTTAGAAAGATAGATATCAGCTAAAAATGACAAGCTGTTTTGACTTTCTGGCAGTAAAATAATCGCAATAAATTTCAAACTTATAGGAGTCAAATTATAGATTGTCAACATCTAAAACTAGATAAAGTTCCATATTTCAAATTTTCGATGCTTCTCATCATTGTTTGTAAATTTGAATCACGAAAAATTTACGCAAGCTCTTGAAAACAACTTTCGAACTCAAATTCAGCGATTTCAAAGCGGTCCACGTTTTTTGCACAAACTAGGAAAAAATAATATTCAATAAATTCCGCACGTGACATAGCAAACATCATGTAATCAAGCGTGCAAGTTTTTCGTAAAAATCTGCGAATTCGAAAAAAAACTTTGCAACTCCTGTGACGAAAGAGAACTGTGATGTCGTGGGAATAATCAAGTCAATCCAGTTTACGTATATGGATGTCGAGTAGAGTAAGAGTGAGGGAAAGGGAGAGGGGGGGGGGGTAAGGGAAGTCGCAGTGGTTGGAAAGAAATGCATGCCCATTTTTAGTGGACATCGTCAGAAAATAAAGCTGTCGAAATAAATAAAATTGACTAGTAAACTGAAATCGGATATTCTTATGTTTGTACTTACTTTAGCTGCATATATGGGGAGAGGTTGGGAAGGGGGGGGGGTATTTACGTTGGTTAGGGAACGATGTATTTCGTTTTGTTAGCTTCATGAGAAAAATCTCGTTAATCAAATTGACTCGAAAGATGTAAAGAACTGAAAGTGGTTTTATTTTTTTTACTTATTATTTACCAGTTTATTCGATCTACTTCAGAATATTGAGGCCATGTAACCTTTACCTTTTTCATCCTCGCCCCCACCCCCTCCCTCCCTTCTCTTCAACCTCGTCCTCTGTAATTCTTTTTCGATGACATATCGTATTACTTTTATGTTTCGATCCTGCACTTTGATAAGAACTCCCTGATTCGCTGATCGTTTCACTCCTCCATTCTCGATCGATATATTGATTGATCACCTGCTCCTTTTTATCTCCACCTTATCACTCATTCGTTGTTCACGCGCTATTTTTGTGTGTTCACCGAACGAAATCGATGTGTTCAGAGCGTTGTGTTCGAGGCGGCTCCACACCGCACCCGGACACTCTTTGAGCCCCGTGCCGAATCCCCGACGAAGCCCCGCCTGGACGTTTTCGCCCTCGGCGGTGCGTGGAACAGTTGGTTCGTGTCGAGGGGTGGGCAGTGTTGCGCCAACGGACGTCGTGTACGACAAGGCGATCACGATCGGCAACTGAGACACGAGAACTTCTGGATCTTCCCCGTGTTCGGCTGGCTGTCAAAAATTCGAAAATTCACGCTCAGATTCGCCCCGTCGACGATACCGCAGAAATCCGTACACAGCTCTACAGACGCGCGGCGCTACCGTACGCCCTACAGTATGGTCGCCTGACTATCGCGCGCTTGCGTGTCGCATCATTGGCTAGCATTCGTCGTCGCCACACTATTAGCGCAACTACCGTATTCCACTGTATACCGTAATCATGCGGTTATACAGTATTGTGCTATCTCTATTCGCTACTAGCACTATGATAGCTGTAGCACAAGAAGAGTGAGTTCTTTTCTTTCTAATTTCTTTTTTCTCTCAATTATTTCACAAATTAGCCCCCTCCCCTCATTAATTCACAAACAACCTATGATCTTTGATGAAAAACTTGCAAACATCACCATCCCCCGCAGAAAATCTGGATCTAGTTAGTGTTATGACGGCGGTTAGGGTGAGATCACTTCAAGATGTTGAACAGTTCATATATCGCTTCGTGCGGTGTCCTGGCGTAAATAAAAAGTTGGAAAATCTTGATAAGTCATTGTGAGGGGTAGGGAGAAGAAACAGGTTGAACTTCATAAAAAGACTTTTGATTGATTTATTTGCTCTGAGCTGGCTAATAAGCAGTTCTATGACAATATCATAATGCTTATTTTTCTGTAAACTTTTGTATCTCAATGAAAATTTTGTTTGCATATCTAGAGTCAAATTCAAAGCTGCTGTCACATTTCCTCCAAATCTCTTTTCCTTCAGACTTCTCCTGTAAGCTCAAACTCTAGTAGTTTTTTGTCCCACCGGAATCTCTGTCATCAACAAGCGCAAAAATCTAATTTTTTTTTGTTGCTGGGTATATCCTTTTGGTGTTCTTGAACAATGCTTACATTCCACTTGCTTGAGTTTTTTTATCCCACCTCTTTTTGATCACATGCTCTTTGAAGCGCAAGATTAGTAGCGAAAGCAAGTTAGTAAGGTTTACTGTTCAGATAAATATCCTGCGCATAATAATTTTGAAATTATTGAAAACTGATCTCGGAGATCTCGGACCTTGCTCAACAATCAAATTATTACAATTTCAATATTATATTCTCTACCAATTAATCTTTGGCAAAATCCTCCTCAACTTCAACAAGTTAGATTTTTCCGTCAATCAAAATTGTGAATGAAAGTTATAATCATTTGAGTCTAAAATGTATATCTTTTTTGATCGTAACCAAATTTGTTAAAATATATTCAGTATTTTATCTGTGAAAAATATCAATCATTTGGCTGAAAAAGCTAGAAATGATATCCTAATTATGATTTTTGAACTCCTTCTTCTTGCAAAAATGCACTAAATTTTTTTTTGTATATTTTGTTCTTCCAAAGTAAACTCAAACACAAGAAAAAACGAGTTCGTTGGGAGGAGTGCCATGGCCATGAATTTTGCAATAGAATGTGACGCATTAAAAGCATTTCCATAGAAAAGAATTGATTAAATTCTTTATGTGGTTGCATAGAAAGGTTGCATAGAAACCAAAAACTTGCTCTAAAACGCTTTGCTCTTCATTTTGCTCAAGATAAACTTTAAAAGAACTTTGAAAGGCGTGAAAAATGGTCAATAATCAACATTTTTGTACCCATTCTTAAAATGGGACCTTCTTCCTCCCCTCATCAATCACAAACATTTTTTTGCGCAAAGTTGGTCAATCTAAAAGGCCAAACTCGCGCAGCAAATCGAATGAAGAATTTGAAGCATCGACGCTGACGCAGCGAGAGCCACTTTCGTCGCTTCATTAATGCTTCAAGATTTTGGCCGACGAGAGGCCACTCGGCCGCTATTTCTGAACTTCAGGCTTGGAAGAACTTCTTGGGGGATGAAAGCTGGACTATATTTTGCACTTTGAATAGTTGAGGCAGCGAAGGCAGCATACTCGGGGGGCTTTTGAGCGTTTTTGTCCGACAAGGTGTTACATGATTGCATTTTACGATTTTTGAGTGACATATTTCAACCTTCTCGACTTCGCTTAGCCCCCTTCCCCCCCCCCCCCCCCCGCCCCTGCCCCGTCCTAGTCCCTTGTGCTTTGATACTACTGAAATTTGAGACTTCCCTATCCCATGCCCACGATAAAACTTAGAATGTTTGCCTAACATTTTTCAAAAAATTCTGAGAAACCCTCACCCTTCCACCTACTCCTTCACCCTTTCAGAACCTCCACCTTTTTTGAACATTAGTATTCATTCAGTTTAGAGCTAACAGCTTCTAATGTTTATCCAACTTGTAGGCGGAAAGGAGGGATAAAATTTCAAAAATGAAAGGGTGGTATACTTTCATTAAGAAGATGGAGCCTATTATGTGACCCCATCATAGTTCAAAAAAATTTTCAAGGCAGAATTTCAAGGAAAAAATCGTTTACCAAACATGTAGGCGAGAAGGAAGGGGTAAAATGAGTGACAGAGATAAAAACCTGCAGCACAATTAGGATTATGGATTTTAATGGAATAAGCAATAGAATAGTAACAGAAGAAACAGTCGATGGTTTTATTTTGTAAATAGTTTCAAATTTCACCTGCAAATTTCTACGTTTCGAGAGAGCCTCCCCTGGAAAGAAGAACGAATGTTGACACTGAATTTGCGGGAAACCATTGGGTTCAGGTTCACCCAATTTGAAGACAAAGGATTGTTGAAAGAAACCAAGAGACGTGCAAGGTATACAATAAAGTTATGAAATTTTGAACTTTTACAAGAAAATTATCTTGTCTGATGATTTTTTAGTGTTCAATTGTTGAGCAAAAACTTGTCGAAGACAAAAAATGTTTCATGAAAAATTGAGCGACTCAGTTAATAGTTACGGATTTGATTCGCTGCCAAGCTACGTATACTCCTCCCCCCCCCCCCAAAAAAAAAGCTCTCTGCTTCAAAGGAACTACCAAAATTCTCCTATACATTGATAATTCTCTCTCTTTTTCAGTGAATTGATCGTGGACACTACACATATCTCCCATGTGTTGGATAGGTTGACAAATAAGACGAATTACGACAAGCGGCTGCGACCAAGGTAAGCTAATTTACGCCAGTTGTTAAGTTGTATAAGTATAAGTGCTTCATTACAAAAAATTGCCCCAGTTGCACAAAATTGTATGAATTCTGGGAAAATGTATGTATTAACTGCGTATAAGAGGAAAATTTGATGTTCGTACAAATTAGTCTTTGAAAAATCGATCAGGGAGAAGATTTACGCTTTTCAAAGGTTATTCTTGAAACGCTCTCGGGATTTTTGTTTTCCACATCGTCCTCCCATAACCATTAGTTAATTTGAACTCATTAAATTTGGTATCTTATATATAAATATATAAAGCCGAATGTCTGTTTGTCTGTCTGTATGTCTGTATGTATGTACGTATGTTCCGAATAGAAAATTCCATTTCTGAACCGATCCGGACCAAACTTGGCACACATACACTTCGAGCCCCCGGCGGATGTCATAGGCTACTTTTCGTCATCGATCGATACGATTTTATCGATTTTATCGATTTTTTTGCAAAATTTGAGCTACGGGGCTGGAAGTTGGCACAGGGGGGTAATTGAGCATGCTGATTACGAATATAATAATGACAGGGCCGGGCGGGGCCGGGTAAGTCAACTAGTTTTTCATAAGATAAAAGTCATATTTTTTTGTTTTCCTATCCAATGCATCATTTATTAGTAAATCTTCCTTTGATAGTTGCTTTTTTCTTCGTAAAGAAATAGTGAGCCCTGCTCATTACTCATTCATCAGAAACTTGATTTCAGATTTTTGAGATTTACCTGCTTGTAACTCCGCAAATCCACAAAAATCCTTCAGTCCCATTCCAAGAGAGAAAATAAGCACAGAAAAGAATTCCCAGAGTTGCCTTTTCATTCTTTTTCTTGTAAGCCACATTTCGCTCCCGATACGTCTATAGTCGTTCTCATCTGATAGTTGATAATGTGTAATTGCACCATTCCCAAAGTGGAGCAAGCCGCGACGGTAAAATCATCATCACTTATCTCTAAGAAACTCATGTAAAGTTGGAAAAAGGTCCTAGTACTCTGAAGACAGGCATTCCAGCACAAAATTTAAAAATAGTGCAATTGCACAATGCGATTGGTCAAATGAGTACGACTGTCCATATAATGCCCTACCGTATACCAAATTTGGACTATGCCATTCACATTCTCTTCGGGAAGTGCTTAAAGGCTTCACATTCACATTGTTTTGGAGAACTTTCACGAATCCCGCGTCATTCTGCACTCGAATGTACTAAATCGACCTGCTCTAGTATTCTTTTGCTTTCTGAAGTGCATTCCATCGCGAATTCTCTCCGCTCGTTCCCATTATCCATAAATTCCGGTCGAAAACACTTCTTGTCAGTGCTCGTGGTTTGTTGTTACTCGAACCGCTGTCCCCCATCAATTATTGACTTCGTCATGCTGCTTGTGTTCGGACAAGGTTGACTTATTCCCCCACCCAGCTGCTGGTCAAAAATACCTCAAGACGGGGAAGTAATTCGAAACTGAACCGTTGTGCAGTGTTCTGGGAGGTTTTTGCGTCGTTCAAAACTTCCTCACACCTGGCGGGAGAGAAGTCATAAATATGACAACTCGTCCTGCAATCAAGCATTGATGTGTTTATGATTGGTCTATGGTGACGGTCATAATATCGTTACGATTTTGAGGATAAAAATAAGAGTGAGTCAAGAGGGGACGAAGAAGTAGATAAGGAAAGGAAGCACTTTTTTGGTGGGAAAGAGAGAGGGGGGGGGGAATGAGATGTGATTAATCGGATAAATATATGTTTCAGCGAAATCAACCGACGAGTCATCTGAAACGATTGATACATCCAAAATTTTCTAATACTCTTATGATATTATAATATTCAAATATGGTAATGGGTTCGCACACACGGGTTCTCATAATCAAAGAATGTACATCCAATTATCTGTTGATCAAATCCCGTAGATTTAGTATTTTCAACAGTGGATCATTTTTGGTTTTAAATCTAGTCGGAGTTTCCGTACAAGTAAACCATTTCGGAAACATCAGGCACCAGTTTAATTGAAAAATTGAAAATTAAGCTACATTTTGTAAGATTTGCTTGCTACTTACTTTTCACTTCTTTATATTTGAACCTTGCAAGCAGGTTTTCTAAAATTATTCGTTGACTTCTCCAACTTTTACGTGCTTACATCTGATACAGTAGGTTTTTGGTCCCAAAAAGAAATGGGTGAATTTCCTGCTTCTGATTCAACAATTCCCTATTCTGAGAATACCAGGCTCTGTTTTACGGCACTAAATCACCAGAAATTACTGCAAAAGTTGTTGTTAATTTTTTTCTAAAGTCATTCAGGTCATGTGCCTGTGCTTTTTTTGTCATTCTGAAGGAAAGATAATGCTTTGCAGATAAATTTTAAATCGAATTGACTTGAAGAAGGTTGGAGATGTTTTATCAAAACTTTTTTTGATTGTTCTTGTAAGTTGAGAAGACCAAGATTACCCATTCAAAAAATAAAATTAGCCTAAATATCTAGAATTCTGGTAGAACTTATCTTACAAGCTCACAATCTCCATTACGTTATACTAATCTTCAATACCCGTGCAAAAAATAACCCTGATCTTGCGACAGTTTGCTTGGACCATAAATTCTGTTCTAACCAATTATTTGAGAAAAGAATCGTTAAGCATAGTTAATCTCTCGATCAGCTCGGATCTTGGTGTCAGAATTTTGAAATTTTATCTCAAATTTTCATAAAAATGCTGATTATGTCCTCTTTCACGTTGATCCCCACACTGCCCTTTGAACATGATATAGTGGTAAATACTAGTAATCGAACGACAGTGGTTAGGTACACAATCCACATGTTCAGCATCCAGGGGCCCAGCCCCTTGTCGCAAAGGGCACTTTCGTCGGCTCATATCCGATGAGCGATCACCTGCACTTGAACGTTTAGCAAGCATAGAAATAGAACATCTGGAATTTTCGAAGAAAGTGGCTGTATTGAAGAGGAGAGCAAGAGGGAGGGGGGGGGGGGGAGAAAAAAGGGGGAGGGGAAGGAGAGAGAAGCGAAATGCTGTCTTTTGGATTGCAAAAAATTGTCAGTTGCTGAAACAAGGATTTTTTTGAGATTGGAATCTTGAAAAATTCCTCTGTGACTGTTATATAGATAGAAAAAGCTAGAAAATTGTTGGAACAGTGTTATAATTCAATCGAAAGTTGAAATAGTGCCATTACGGTGTCGACATCACCCGCGCGTAAAAAATATAAGGCAAAGATTTTCAAGATGTTAATAGGGCCAAAGATATCCAAAATTGAAAGTTGTGAACTAAGAAAATAGAGATAATCCCATATATTTTTACCTCATGTAATATTACCCTGCAAAAAAGTTCAGAAAAAAACCTCAGAAAAAGCATTCTGCACACTATGACATTTTTTACGCGTAAATGCTGTTGTTACCGTAAAGGCACTCAATCAGATTCAGTTTTTAGACTGTTGACGATTGAAGAAACGAACATTTGAAAATATGCATATATTTATTTGTATATTTTTCCAGATATGGTGACAAGCCGGTCGATGTAGGTATCACAATTCATGTATCCTCAATCAGTGCCGTCTCCGAAGTGGATATGGTTAGTTTTTTGTCCAGAAATTTCTCAGTTTTCTCACTTTTTTCCATTTCTCCTCATCGGATGGGGTGAAACGATTGATCGAACGCCTTTCGGCCATCATCAATTTATCATTGTCGTAGAGCTTTAGCGAACACTTGCTGACGTACGTTTTTATTCTCGGATGCGCTTGGTTGCTGCCAGCTGCTTCGACCAAATTCCCCTTATAAACTTATGGGTTGTAAAAATAAGCCATTAGAAATTTTTATAGTACTGGGCAATTATAGGGAATAGCTTTCGTACTTCTGACTATTGTCAATAGGGCAAAAATACAATTCTCACTCGTGAGAAACATTTTTGAGTGGAGGTAGGCGAGAATTGACAATTTGAGTTTCTGCAACCTTTTTTGCAATTAAAAATGTATACGTATCCGTCACGTAAATTTCCCAGGCTTCATATTCTTTTAAAAGCTGGCTCAGATTACTAAATGGAAGTTCACATAATAGAAAAATGCTGAGAAAAATACAACGCGAGTTACTTAAATGCTCGAGTTTCACCATAAGAGTATTGATTTGCAAATTCCAGAAATAGATAGGGAGGGGAGGGGGGGGGGGTAAAAAAAATGACGGCAAAAAGTTTTCGGTGTAGCCTACAACCTTCTGAAATGAATTATAGAGCTTCTACGATGTCCTTTCAATACTTGTGCGTTAAAGATTGCTGTCAAGCGCGCACTTGCCGTATTTTACGCGCAAGTGTTGTTGTCACCGCAGGCGCTAAATAAGAGGGCAATTTACTAACGCGGTATACAGAAGGCCATTACAGTAACAGATGTTCTTGAATAAATACCTCAGCAAACAGAGGTTTTTTTTTGCCAAAAATTTGTTTCTAACAGTTTTTGAGATTTCAAGCAAAATAGAAGAAAACTCTATAATATTGTAATTATTATCCTATGATGTATGAAAAACTCCAGAATATTGTAATTATCTTATGATTAAAATATAATGATTATGTAATGCTAGTACCCTTTGAGAAAAAAAAAGAGTTATATGTAAACCTACCGCTTATACTTCTATTTTTAGGACTTCACTCTAGATTTTTATATGCGACAAACATGGCAAGATCCGAGGTTAGCGTTTGGAACATTGGATCTCGGAATGTCAAAGCAGATCAATTCACTTACCGTAAGTTTTGAGCTCTCTTTGATTTGAAAAAAGTCGAGGTGTAAGTTGCGGGCTATACTTCCAGTTTTCCCGCCAAAATCCGCAATCGCAGCAGTGCGCACAATCATTTTGGTCATTTGCGATTTTTTTGAAACCTTTTCCTATATAAGCTTTGAAACACCCTCGTTTTCACAAGTTTCAATTTGTATCCACAAAAATATAAAATCAGTCCATCTGCCTGTACGAGATGCGTGCGGATACGTCGCGTTTTGGCGGAAAACTCATAGCATACTGCCCACGCATACTATAAACGAGACTTTTATTAGACTTGGAGGCCCAAACAAGCTCCGACATACGCGTTTTTTGCATCAGAGTTTCAATTTCAACTTCCTCCCAGACATTTTCTTTGGCAATTAAATCTGCTTCTTTCCGAATGTAATCCTATATCCCCGAGAAAAACTCGGAAGTAAGAATCAGCTTATCGGTTTCACCTTCAAATGTGGTTTGGTGCGTTCTGATGCTCCCAATCACCATAGGCGGAAATAGCATTTGAATACTGAACGATGTAGACTAAGATATTCAGACCAATGCGCGAACATCTACATCAAAAACGGATGCTAGAGAAAAGAGGAGATCAAAGATCAAAATCCCAAAAAAATCACAACCTCGAAGAATTTTCAATAATCCGTTTTCTAGGTCGGTGTCGATTACTTGGACCGATTATGGAAACCGGACACATTTTTCCCGAACGAGAAGAAATCGTTTTTTCATGTGGCCACCACACATAATTCGTTTCTTCGAATCGATAGCGATGGAACCGTTTTTACCAGTCAACGGTAAGCGCCTTCATTTAGTGCACTTCGTGCAATTGCAGACATTGTGTTGTTATTGCGAATAGGCTTGCAAAAATGCAATTTCGTTAATAATTCGCTTTATATTAAGGTTTTTTCGCGAAGCGCTCTTGCATTTCATTGCATTGCATACCCATTCAAATAAATTGCCTATAGGCTGTAAAATTTAGTGTATGCTTCATAATTTGGTACGCATGTGACTGAAGGGGAGGGGGGGGGGTGAGAGAGAAATGAAAAACGAAGAAGACGGACGAAAGGAGGGATTTACGAAGATAGCAAGTGAATAGAATGTCTTTAGGACCAAGCGTACTTCACGCGATTTCATTCGATGCGATTTGGCAATTAGCCAGAAGTCTTCAAATCCAACACTAGCAAAATGAACATGCATATGTTTATAATTTACGTGGATTGATGAAATGCCCTATCTTCCGCACATATAAAATGTGCTTACAATAATGGATGGCTGGAATATTGCCAAATCGCGTCGCGACTGAAATCGCGTGAAGTATGCCCGTTCCCTTAACTATATAACGCCGCTTACTTATGTGATTATCAGTTGATATAACAAATTTGTCGGGGGGGGGGGATTTTTTTTGTAAATGGTAGGGTGTTAGTTAAGCCCTCCAAATCTAGGTGGTAACCTAATGCTCAGTGAGCTTATAACTAGGAAATTTTGGAAATTGTGGGCGTGGAGGGAGCCACCTTTGATAAATATTTTTGCGAAATTAGAAGTTTTAGAGAAAAATGACATTTTTTAACTGTTCACAGAAATAGTCGCTTGCAAAAGATAGCACATGTAAACCAGCGTAGATTTTGATAGATTTGCGTCCCGTTTTTGAGGGGGGGGGGGGAAGTCTTGAGAGTACGGCGAACTAGAAAATATGGACCGAAAAAATTATAGTTAAGATGCCAAAAAATACACAATTAGCGTCTGTTCTATCATATTATTGCATCTACTTTTGCTAATTAAAAACCCGCAAAGTTCTTTCTCCCCACCCCCCCCCCCTCACCTCCCTCTCTTTACTAATCTTTCTAATGACTTCGTCTATCGCGCATCACCAAATAGCTTTCTGATGAGCTTTGGAAGGATTGGGCCGAAGATTTAAACGTGACGGGGCTTTACGGAAATGATCCCACTCACACTTCACGTAGTGACTAATGACCGCTCTAAGTCAAGCAGAGTGTCCGGTGTGGTCGATTGCATTGAGAACATCCGAGCGCGAAAAGTAGTAAGAGGGGACGGAGGGAGGAGAGGGGGGGGGGAAGGATTGGAGAAAAAACGGAAGAATGGGCTGAAAAAAGAGAGGATCAAATTAGGTGCAGTTGAGGTTAACGTGATTGGCGATGCTGTGTCCATTTTCGCCCTACGATGCACTGAATGCCAAATGCGCGTCTTAGTTCCGCCACTTTCATTAAGTCGGTATTGAGAGGAGTGAGAAGGTAAGGAGTATAATAGGGAAAGTTATAAAGTGCAAGTTTAGCTAGGTTGATGACAGCTGTTGACAACCGTTGAATGCCGCATTACAAGGCGCCAAATGTCAAATGCGCGCCATTAAGTGGCGCCACTTTGGTTTAACTGGTTTTAAGAAGAGGATGGTGGTGGATGGTAAAGAAAATGATAAGTCAAAAGATAAGGTGCAAGTCCAGCAAAGTTAATAATGACCGCTAATGACGCCGAGTAGAATTTTGCATTACAAAGCACCAAATGCCAAATGTCTGTCATTTAATTGCACCGTTTCCGCTAACCCGGTTCCGAACAGATTTATGAGTCAAGTATTTTGCTTGCGTGTAGTGATACAGAATTTTCATTTCTTTCTAGAGGGGAAATTTCAAGAAAATAGCGTGACCCCCCCCCCATCCTTCTAAATTATTATCACCCCTTTCTTCTCTTTCTTACTTTATTCTTATTTTAGTCTTCAATTCAGGCTTACAGTAACGGCAACTTGTCCGATGAAACTACAACTCTTCCCGATGGACTCGCAACGATGTAAACTTGAGATCGAAAGCTGTAAGTCAATTGATACCTATCTTCAATGGGACCACGACTTCTTGCTGCATCCATAGTGATCACCAAGAAGTCGTTCGGTTCCGAAGCGATTAGCGTGTACAAAGTAGTAGAAAGTAGTGTAGCAGTGTGTAGATGTGTACAGTACATACATCAAATTGAGTACAAAAAAATTTCATTGAAAAAAATCAGAGGTTGCACCAGGTCTATAGGTATGAAAACTCGTCCACTTCATATCGCACCCCACACCTCCATCCCCTCAGAAAACCCCCTATTTCGTCCCGTTAATCACGTTTTAGCTGCAATGTAAACTCGTCCGCCTATACGCTCAACGTCTTGCCGATACCGTAACCGGCCACAGGATACTGTAATCGTCGAAAAGGTGAAGATTCTCGCATAAATCTCGTAACCTCCTCGAAATAATGCTGTTGTGTGCTGTTTATAATGCTTGAACATTTCTGTTGCATGCCCTTTAGCATGATTACTGTCATCGTATTTACTTTTCCTATCGCTTTCTTACTCAACTATATCGACGCGCCGTGCTTACGGGTCCCGCACGGATCCGCAAGTGCGTGCGCGCGATGCGTTTCGACGCGCTGTGCACGCGTCGCCTTCCAGACGGCTACAGCGTGCTCGACATAAACTATAAATTCGCCTCGGAGGAGTCAGTGACACGAGCTGAATTCGAGTTGCCGCAGTTTGTGCTGGTGGATGTGAAGATAAGCAACAAAACGGAGAAACTCAGCTCAGGTAAGGGAAGTTCTCTGATTTTCTTATGTAGCGGGAAATCACCGATTTTTAATGAAAGCCACTAAAAATAGGCGTACGAAATGAAATTGATAGAATCAAATGAAATTAGTGATTTCAATTCTGCGTATTTCGCGCTACAGGTTAACCGCGCCCATTCGATTTCCACCAATGACAGGTCAGCTGCACTACGGTAGTAGATACTGTAGCTGCCTGCCTGTTCCGGCAGTGAGACCCATTCAAAAAAGATTAATAACGTTAGACTTATCTAAAAGCTGTAAATTAACATAACTCTAAAATCTTGCGGATTTTGAAAATTTGGTAAATAATGGGAGAATGCGTGGAAGAATTTTTTGTTTCAGTTCCATAATATTTTCTATATAAGTCCAAACAAAAAAAGAATTATATTTCTGTGGTTTTGAGATTGAAATTCTTTGAAATCACGTTCCCAATAACACCAACTTTCCTTGCTTTCATGAATCCAAAGATTTATAAACCTTTTGTACCTTTTATGTACCCTCCCCCACCCCCTCCACTCTGCAGCAAGCCTTTTCTATTCGGTCCTTTTACAAAGAGGAAGCAAAGGGTGCGGGCCAAAAATTTTTCCTAATCGGATCTTTTTTCGCATAATATATGATTCTTAATGTCTTATTTTATATTTTTCGTTGAAATTTGATTAGGGTCGCTAAGATATCATCATACATTTTTTCCTACTTGTTGGTCATGTGCTTCTGTCCGAGAACACTCTTCGCTATGCCATCAGGTCACTTTTTCCAGCCAGTATTAGCAACTGACAAGTTTTTCTCCATAAAGGCGCTGATCACTGAACGTTTCGAAACTGCTTGTTAGCAGTGGCGAAAACTTTTCGGCGATAAAAGTGCAACCACTTCTATGTGCTGAACAGCTGTGCTCCGAAATTTGCTCGTTCCGTAATCTGAGCGCTTTGAAGGGCTGGATAAGTGCTGATCGTAGATAGCCGATGACTTGGGATTCAGCGACGGTCAATCAGTGCATAGGATTATAGCCTAACATAAAGTGAAGAGTTGAAACAGCAACTTTTTTCATTCGTAGAGAATTTCTGCTTGTGCAATAAATTAGTAAAGAAATGTATCGCTAAACAGCAAGAATTAGGGGCACAAAGGCCAGTGTAATTACGAAGCGCTTCAGCCAAGGGCATGGCATCAGGCCAAAAAAAAACACAAAGCCATAGGCCATTCATCGCACGCAAAGAGACGGGACATAAATGCGGACTTTATCGGCGCTTCTCACCTTGAATGCACTCTCATTGCTCTAACCGTCTGATTTCTATCCAAAATACGAACTATTTTGATGGGGTGTAATGACGTGCGGTCTCTGCGCGCGACAAGCCTGAAATCGGAATCTCTTCGAATAATATTTGTCAAAATATCAAATTTGGTCAGAAATTTACAGGTAACGAGTCATTAGCACATGTTTACAATTCATGTAGACATTTCAAAAGTATAGCGCTCATTCTTGGGGGGGGGGGGGGTGGTTTGCCAGCTATATGTGTAACAATTTTTGCTGCAGTCTTGTCTAAGGGTAGGCACTGCTCCTCAAAAAATACTGTACATAGTTAGTCCAATTTTCACAAAGAATGCATGATTATTTAGCTAAATAACAGATTGGTTCAATAGTTTCATATCACATGAATCGGATCCGAAAATTAGCAACTCATTGGAGTGGAAGGGGAGGGGGGATGCTCTGGGTATATCATGATTACGTCATTTGTAAAACAATATGTGAGCCTGTACAAGCGGAATAGCACCTCTCGACTATTTGTAGATCAGTATTAATCATTGCTGAATTCGGATTACTATCTGGAGTTTTGTTAAATGTTTGCTTACACCTGCATGAGAGAAAAAAAACAAAAATTTCTTTAACCGGAACACATGTCGTGAAATACGCTGCGTTATGTGTAATACACATAAGAAGTGACTTGAATGTATACTTGGTAATTTTCTTTCAAAATTTCTAATTTTAATCATTTGAACGCAGAAAAAAAATCTAAAACTTCCAAAAGCTTAGAGTACTTCCAATATTATTGTAAGTTCAAAAGTTCAATTGATGAAGAATTTTTATCTTTCAGGTGAATACTCACGACTTGTCAGTTACTTTCTTTTCAAACGCAATATCGGTTTCTATATCATTCAAATCTATCTCCCCTCTATACTTATCGTTGTGATCTCATGGGTGAGTCAGCTAAGCCAAACTGTAATTTCTGAATAAAAATAAATTTTTAGGTGTCCTTCTGGTTGAGTAGAGATGCGACCCCAGCACGAGTTGCGCTCGGTGTCACCACTGTGTTGACCATGACCACGCTGATGACCACTACTAATGTGAGCCTTCTGAAGAATTTTTTTTATTTTCGAAATTTTTTGCAAATCAGAGCAATTAGTATTACGCAATATAGACAGAAAATACTTCAACATTCGCGTTTGGAAACTTAGTTCCAATAGATTTGGGATTTAAACTACTTGTTTGTATATTTGCGTACTCGTAAAAGTTTTTTTTGCATACCCTCGTCTTATTTTTCAGTTTAAAACGCAGATAGCTCTAAAAGAATCAATGAAATGTGGTTAGAGTTTCCTGTGAATATCGCTACCTTGCAATCAACGATCTACTTACCTATTTTTCTTAATAAATCCTAGCTAATTATTTTGGCAATTTTCTTTATGGTGTCATTTATTCAATGTTCATTTAATGAGTAGATAAGCGTAAAAGATGGCCTTCATTACATAACTGCAGAGTCGAGGAGATTACTGGTAGCAGAGGGCTCGGTTTCCTTTTTTCGAAACAAACAAATGTTGCTCTAAATTTATAATTCTGATTTCCAAAATTACAACCCTTGAAAGACTTGGTTCGCCTTCAAAAACATATTCAAACTCTCCCCATTTTCTCTTTCAAACTAAATTCATAAAAAGAAATTTTCGTAACTTTTGACTACAGTCACCGTTCCGAAAATCTGAACTAACCTTTGATTGATTCAACTTTGAATTTTGAAGAAGTGATTTTTTTGATGATTCACTTGTATACGAGTGTTCGCTTTTCAGTCCGCTATGCCCAAAGTCTCCTACGTCAAGAGTATCGATATATTTTTAGGTGAGTTCTCTTTTTTGGTCATATTTATGTGAATGAAAAGCTAGGGGATCAAAAGCTTATAAACGGCGCTAGAATTACAGAACCAGCAAAAAATAGTTATAAACGGATACGCTACTCCAAAAGACTCTGTTTTTACTGTCATACTGTATTGAAACATATCAAATTCCTCGACAATCTAATGTTTGTGCTTATATTGTTCTCTAAGCGTCATGAACTTATCTTGTTGAGTCACGCGGGCAGTTCACATTTTCACCAATCGCCAGCTGTGTCTATTTTGACATGAACTGATATGCAGCGGCCGTTTTACACCATCCGTGCGTGGCAAATTGCTCCGGCCACAAATCGTAATGCTTTACATCGTGATCATGTTTCCGTCAGAAACATCAGCCGAAAAATTGGCTTCTAGCCAGGGAGTAGCCAAAGAGACTGTGGGTGATTATGAATTATCAAAAGACAAAACATTTGATCTTATTATAACTCATTGAACAATCTGTTTCTGGATTCTTTTTCAATTTTGAAACGATATCAATTTTCATTTTGAACGAGCACCGATTTTTGAATCCTTAAAAACCAGAAGTTGGTTTTCTCTAATCTAAGATTATTGAGTTCCAAGCTTACCAAATCAAATTTCCTCTTATTCCGTATTGGAGCCTCTTGATATAAATTTCATTTTTATTCTTATTAAAACGTTGCTTGATTGATTAAAGACTCAGCTGTTCATACCAATACACCATTGATGCTACCGTACCCATACCGTATCGTTTGATGTATGACATACTTATATACTAAGAAGCTGTTTGGCGCGCTACTGTAACTTTACCGAATAACTATCAACTTAATTGTGAGGCTATCGAAACACTAGAAACTGGTGCTCTACATTTTTTTTTCGTAACACACTATAAACATAGTTTTATTCTCAGCTTTTTGGAAGAGATGCTGTTTTTGTTAATTGATTTACATATTTGCGATCAAAGGTGATCCTAAGATAAGTCCACAGGTGTGATTGGAAATGGTTCACCCTCGACGTCGAGTGTAATCGTTGTGGGCGCCTTCTGTAAACATAAAATCATTTGCAGTAACAAACCATATACTCAGTTGAGTGCAGAGCTATAAATCCCAGATGGACAGCATCTGGAACGATTCCAATTCCTTTGCGTATGTAATGTACCTGGACAGGTGCATAGTGCACGTTGCTATGCGAAAATCAAAAAAAAATTCCATGAAACTATAGGAGAAGTGTAAAATTGCATATGACTCGAAGTTTACGGATCAACAACTACCAAAAACAAATGTTTTGAAGTTTTTGGCTTGTTAGCAGGCTGAACATTTGTTTTTTATTGTCACAACTATGTTCTATAGTGTTTTCTAAAACTTACAGTATTGGGCGTTCCAATCCATTTTCCGCATGGAAATCTGTAACAGATGCCTATAGTGGGGCACGAAAGAGTAAATTTTATTCGCGCACAATAATTGAATGTTAGAGGCACGCGTTAGAAACAGAATCATAAAATTTTGGTTCCTGCACAAAAGTTAATGACTTTTCCTTCAATCTTGAAAAAAAGTGGAAGACATTTTGCAACGCAACCGTCTCGTAATCCAATCCGAGATTGGAGTGACTGTTTCTGCATTCGCATAGACAAAAAAAAAACAGGCGAAAGAAAAGCAACCCTTGATTCAATTGGTCTGGCGGCTAGAAGGCTGGGCTTGACCTAATTAAGGCCGCTCGTGCCCGATACGAGATCTGCGTCTCTCTCGCCCGTCTGCTCTTTGATCACTATTTAGCTTCAATTAGGTCATGAAGCCCCGCCTTCCATCCGCCAAGCCTGTTGAATCAAAGGGTAGAGTTGTTGCAGTTGTTAGCCAAAGAGGTCACGATGAGTACAATCAGGGTAAAAGTTCTCTACGGCAGAGCCAATGCTCTGAGTCAATGCCTTATTATTTGCTATCGATTACGAAAATCCCTTCAGAGGAAACCTTTTTTATCCAATGCACCCTGTGGCCAACAAGAAAAAATTTTCACCTGTACAGCAAAAAATTCTCATGTTCCAGCACCATAATTGAGTGACAGTGCCATTGTATGCGAGCTTCATCAGCTTCTGCAATTTTTAATTCCCTTAATCTGATCGAAATTTTGCAACTCACCTTCCTTGGGCACATGCATGATTTCAATCTTCTTCAAACGTCCGAGAATGGGCTGATCGAGGAGCAGGAAGAGATCCGACTAAACAAAAAAAATTTCTTTTGCTGTTTGGCTTATACTGGGGGAAAGAAAATTTGGGGAAATGGTAGGTCAATAGGGGTCCTGTTTTTGTAGGGGACAAAGCCAAATATAGGAGTTGCGAGAACTCACATGACCTCTTTGATATTTTACTCTGTGTGTTAATGAGCACTTCAGCTTTACGCGATCGGTTTTATTTCCAGCCTCGTCAACCAGCTAAATTCAGAGACATCTGGTTGAACTACCAGTAATTCTCTATTTTCTCATTAAGACTCAATCACTTCACCAAGCTACGTATTTCGTTTCGCATAGCAGCCTACCTGAACGAATACAAAAGCTTTGGTGTCCGCGTTTTCGACAGCACTTGTTCGAACAGCTATGGAGTAGGTGGTATTAGTGGCGGTCATAGCATCTTCAGGCGCTGGCGACTGTAAAATTAAGTCATTGTTTAAGGGAGAGAGGATTTGCTAAGGATCTTCAAAACATACTGTCATTGTGGCGACCAGCTCTGTGAGCTTATGTTGCACAAATGAGAAATATTCTCATTCCATTGCTCTTGTTTGTCTACGTTTTATTGGCTATCCACTATGTGAAGTAATTACTAACGAAAAATTTGGATGTATCTAGGTCGTTTTGTATCGCATTGCTGTTGGGGCATTTCCAGGCAGGACCGCAGTAGCGTCGATGCACAACAGCAAGCTATGCAAAACTGCTGCAGTATACTGTAGTACAAAATGGCCCTCTACCGTGGCAAGTCTACGGGAAGAGACAATGGGGAAGGGCTCCTGAGAAAAGAGGTGTTTAGGGTGAAGGGGGCTGTGAATTGCATAGCAAAGTATATTCTACACATTTTGGCACTGTCTTGTAACTTTTGTTGACTCTCTCATTTCTGGATGTCAAAAACACAGTAACTTGAACACTGCCATAAAAATCTATGCGAAAATCATTGGCTTTTTTTATCTACAATCTCTATATCTGTACACCTTTTGAGAAATGAGTTTTTAGTATGGTATCACAGCAACTTGCACGACATAATTTATGGGATATCCTCTGGTTTTCTCAAAACTATTTTCAAGGGAAAGTGCACATCAGCCACTTTTTGCCACTACTCCTTTTTGTAACGACTTACGTCACTAATCTTTGGCCAAGCTCTTTCTGTTCGGATCTCGTATATTCTCTGCTCAGAATCGAAAGACCACCAATCTCACTAAATCAGCAATTAATCGCAATCGAGACCAACTGTTGCAATCGGGGGTGCCGCGCAACACTTTATTGTGAGCGATGAATTGAAGCATCGGAGATTGCTCGAACAAGTGGGCGGACACATCAAAAGTGCTGGAAAGATGGATTGAGAGGGGGGGGGAGGGGAGAATAAGCACAAGGACGTCGTCAGGAGTCCATCTTATATATTGTAGCTGTAATCACTTATAAAAGTGTAAAATGTTATTGAAAAGGGATTTAGGCCAATTTTTTAAGCCTGTAAAGAATCGGAGTATGTCTGTCAAAGCCTGCGGTACCGAGGGTTATGTAACCTTCGTATTTTTGGAGAGGTGCTAAAAAATCTTTCCAACCTGCATAGACCGTCTCTTTCTCTATTAAGAAAGACGAAAAATACTGTCAGCGACAGAAAAAAAACCGTTGGTTACCCTCTTATCTATATGACTACCGTTGAATATTGTTTTTACATATTAATAATTATAAAAAATCTGTACCCAGCTCAACGGAGCGTATCTCATGATATCTTGCCTGTTTCAAACTGCTGGGGTACGGTAAATGTACGGTAAATGTATCCAATCGTTAAAACATGGCGACCGATGTCTTATGTATAAATAGCGCATCCGAAGGAAGTGTGCAAGTTTATGGAAAATTTGCTTCAGATTGACTTCGGAAAATGTCTGTTTTGAAGATAACAGCGATGGAATAAAAAGTTCCGTCTATTTTTTGCAAGGCATGAGCAATGTCCGCTCTTCCTAACCTAGAGTTTTTACAGAATGGTTTCTCAGATCTTTTGACATCCTGACACATTAACAGTTGCACTTGAATAACTGAAGAGATGACAACCAATTTTTTTTTGGTGAAGAAGTGACAAAAGGAGTTTTCAAATTAGCTACAGGAGTAGAATGAAAGCATAATCACATTTGATCAAAGTTTATATGGGAGATATTTGTCAAGATGAATCTGTCAAAAATTAATACAAAAATAGCTATCGTGATGGTAGTCTTCTTTTATTTGCTTAGCTCAAGGCATTACAAACTAAGACAACTGACCGTAACTTCCGCAGAACGTTTGAAAAAGTTCCGCCGGGTCAGCTGAGGGAGTTCCTTAAACTTGTTGTGGAAGTTCCAAAGATGCGAACCACAACAGCGAGAACACCTGGGCGAGATTTGAACCTTACTCTATTAACTGTAAGACTCCCTAATATCCTCTCCACTACGGCTGGCATGTTCGGTAACGCATTTTAGTTGTTGGCGAGAAACATCTTACGAGACAACACATTCGAAACCCTGCGGAATACTGGCATAAAGTGCTGCGGAAGCGCCGGCATTTTTCGGAAGTTCCGCGGCGCTTTGTAAAAAGCCCTGCGGAAGTTCCCGTTTTCAACCGGTCTGACGTGAACATGCTGCGGAAGTTTCCATTATCAACGTTTTCACTTTTGCAATAGTAAACAAAATCCTGCGGAACCGCTGCAAACTTTGCTTGTCTTGCGGAAGTCTCGGTAATTGTCTGAGAATGATTAGAACAGCCATGCCTTCTTGTGCTGCAGTGCAAATTTGACTGACGATTTTTATTAGTACAAGTAAAGTGAAAGGCATTGAAAAGATGTTTGCTACAGATATTTGAAGTTTCTGACTTTCTTATTCTACCCAAAGAATTGCGCGCAGTCGAGGAAATTATCAGATAGACGGTGGAATTGCCAGTCAATGCAAAGAATTGTTTTATCATTGGCGGAAACAAAATCTTGGTTGAACCGAGTATTCTATTTGGAAAGTATTTGAGTAGAAAGAGTATTTGGAGAGCAACTTATTTTTGCTCTAATTTCAGGAGTGAGCTTTTTGATGGTGTTCTGTTCTCTTGTCGAATATGCTGCAGTTGGATACATCAGCAAGCGCTTGAAGTTGAAGGAAAATAAACAATCAGAGATGAGGTTTGTTCAGCGTTGCAGAAGTTTTGTGAGTTGAGTCGATAGAAAAATATTATGGGACCTAAAATCTCCCTCTAACAGCTTGAATCGAAAAAATTTGTTCAAGGATAAATTGCAAACGTTATAGGTACTGCTAATGAATTTACAATACTATTTGAAGCTATGTCCCACTTTTCCAGAGCCAGGTCTTTACCATCAAATGAGCCACCACCGACAAGAACAGTATCCGTGCCGGCATACTTCAACCGCGGTTACAGACCATTCTACTCTTCCACCGACACCAATTCAAATCTTTACATTCCCGAAAGTCAACGTGTACCTCTTACATTTCAGGTGAAATTTAATCTAAATGCTTTTGCTTAGATGTTGTTCGTTGAGCTAACGTTTTGTTCATGTCTTGTGTGTACGCGTAAATGTTGTGCTCTTTAGGAACTGGACTGCCACTGTCCCATACCTCCTCCGGAAGATGAGCCACGTTTGAGGTATGGTTCGTCCCATTTTTCACAGATAATGTGAAAGCGCAGTATATCGTAATGTATAAAAAGAGAATGAAAAATTGCACCTCATTACCACGGAAGAATTTTCAGCTGAGGCGCGAAAATCTTTTCTGATAGTAATATTCCTGAACCAATTTACCTGTCGAAATAGTCACAAAAAATTATCGCGTTTTAGTCCTACAAAATGGTTGCTGAATCCAATTAGGAGGGTGCTCCCAATTTTTTTAGAGTAGTCTGTACAACAAAACTTTAAAACAACTTACACGAACTTTGCCATTATCGATTCTCTCCAGAAACAGTCATTCATTTTTGGTAAATTTTTGGTTATTCCTTGCTTTGTAAAAAAGATGAGAAAGCACACTTGATCAGCAATCAATCAGCAACCTTTGGCAATATTGTACATTCTTGGAAATCATTTGAGCGACAACGAGAAAGATTTTTTAGCCTGAAGGTCAAACATATGTTTTGGAAGGCCAACTTTGAGGAGCCATAACATAATCTGAATTGTGCTAGAATAGCGCAAACTCTACTCACTGTGAAGCCAATGGTTGGCTCATCAGTTTTACTAACCTTAAGGTTGAGTGATGTAAAAAGTTCCTGCAAAGAGGACAAATTTACACACTTAGGTCGCTCTACCTAAAATGCTGGAACTTTTCAGAAACTGGAATCTTTCGCTGCTGAAAACTGCAAAATTTTCTAGCCAAATCTCCAAGCTCAGTATTCTCGTACAGACTTGTAATCCTATTGCACTTTCGTTTTTACGCGACTGATAAAGGCTACAATGCATGTTATGTTCATGCTTAAATATATTAATTTATGGGGTTTTGAAAAAAAAATTTATCTCGACAGGCATCTTTTGGCACAAGTTCAGCAAACATTAAACATGTTTTTAAAAGAATATTCTTATCAACTGTAAACTTCATGGAAGTAAAAAAGGAAAAAGCCTCAACTTGCTTTGTTGTTCTTTCAAGGTGCATATTGAGAATGTGCAAAGCTCTATGAAGCGAGCATTCATAAGAACTACAGAATAAGAACTTTCACATGTCATAGCTAAATAAAAATGACTTTCTCTTCGAAACTAGCGAATCGAAATAGAGGGATGGAAAAACTTCAGAACTAAAAAAACTCGGTAAAATGTAGTCAAAACATCTACTTCTGAAAAAAAAAAACTCGTAAAAATATAGTCAAAACAACTCCAAATTCTAATTTGGTCAAGTGTGGGTACCGTGCACAGATACAGCAAGGTTGAAGATCCGAATGTTTTCAAAGTCACAATATCCATTATTTTCTACTCAAAACTACGTAATTTCTATTCAGCCGAATCACCGGCGTGTCCTCGATTGTGACACTCCGACCAAATCGCAATGCATCATGGCTTTCTTGGAGATGCATTCGTCCATCGAATATCGACAAAATGTCCAGGTGGATTTTTCCAACGGTAAGCTCAAACTGAGACATGTTCTTCACTTTGGCAAAATCTCCAATCGCAGATCTTCGTCTTATTCAACGTCATTTACTGGAGCTATTTTATCAGGATCAGTCACCACGACGCTGTGCTCAACACGGATTTTTAAAAAATTTCATATTATCACTTACTAACGCATCTCTCAAGAACATTCCAATAAATCCTTACAATCGAAACTTGCAAGTGTTCTCACCCATCATTGCTAGTGCACTTGCTTAACACGGTATACACTATATTCATTGTCCAATAGACCTGGTGTAACTGTAACTGATTCATTGCTAACTAACTGCTACAGTACTGTAACTAGGCCTTTCTTACGACGGTATAGTCGAGATTCAGACGGTTACACCACGGCCGACATCGACTATTTTTGGGGACAAAAGAAGTCAGATCCTAGGCGGAAAGCGGTGAGGTTCGACAACTTCATGCTGCCACAATTCAAACAGACCGGCTATAATGTAAACATCACCAAAGCAGTCACATCTTCAGGTCGGCACAACGTCATTCTAGAATTTTTAGTTAGTCCTCGATTTCTCAATTTCAGGAGAATATGTTCGCCTCTACTTTGAAGTTCTTCTAATTCGAAACATGGGTTTTTATGCCATGAACATTGTCATTCCATCTATGCTGATCGTGACCATATCATGGGTAAGCTCTGTATATCGCATTAGCCTTAAATGCTTCCGAGCTTTCAACTAATTCCAAGTTCAGCAACCCTAACGTCTGGGTGTTTTGATATAAGCTATGTGTTGCTTTAGGCGAATGTTATCGCCTTGGGAGGAATATCTGTTAGTCTGAACGGTATTAGCCCAACAGATTTTATTGAAATAATCAACTTCCCCGCGTTGGAACAGTGGAATGCCATAAGGCAGGAGCTTCCCCACGAAGAAGAATTTTTCGAAACAGCAAAGCTAGTACTTGGAACTATACCTAACGATGCTTTCTTTAAAAAAAGGAAGTTTATCAGGGGATGTGGGTCTTCTGAGAAGGAATGCCTCAGAACTTGATATACTGCATCAGTGGTGATATCCAAATAATCAATCTTGGCATTTGTAAAACGTGGGCAATTAGCATTCGAGGTTGTTGAGTCCTTATAGAATTTGAAAAATTCGGCAAATCTCTCTGCTTTCTCCAAATCAGACGCGCAGGGCTGCCCGGCTGAGTTGTATATAGTGCCAATGCTATTTGACACCCTCAGTTTTGCTTGTATAAGCGATAGAACGCTCGCACATTTCGGGTATCCCCACTTTTGCTTTTTCTTAACGTCTCTTGCGTTCTCGCAAAGTATAAACGAAGATTTGAGCATCAGCAGTAGTTCAAAACTCTCGAATTCTTCTTCAAGCGCATCTGCTTTGTCCGCAATTTTTTCAATCTAGAATTTACGTTTTTGTGTTGCTTGTAGTATGTCACTCTATGTCCAACTGTAGTAACTTTTTGTCGACTTTGACTGCATCCAAGTCACTATAAAGTCATATGGTAGATGCATACGTTGTACCGCTCTTGATCGTCTTCTGCAAGTACATTTTCTTGTTGTGACACCCGCAAACTCCGTGGTAAATATTTTCGATCTTTCTTGGAGAGGCGAAGTCCTTATTCCCGACGTTCTCAATATGATGCTTGGAAGCACTTGATCGGTCATATTAGGCCAATGCACATGAGGTGTTGGCTAAAGTGTGCTAATGTTTTCTTGAGCTAATTTTGTCGTTCTGGAAGAGACACTCTACATACCAGCATTAGAGCATTGGTAGAATGCTGAAGATACTCTTACCACACAATCTCCTTTAAAGGCAGTGGCTTGACAAATCCTCAACCTAAAGTTTTTTTTCGTTTACCTGGGGAAATTCGACGCGCTGATTTAGAAAGCACACCTTAAAGAGCACAATATCGAAAACCAGCATTTTCAAATCTTGAATTTGGACGAGTGGACCACTTTCTGCCATGGTTAGAGACGTAGAGTCGTTGCAGGACCCTCATGTATATAACACTGGGGCATGCCGCCTCTGACGGTGGCAGGGGGACCGCAAGCTCGTCCGAGCTCGTGTAAGAATGGCTTGCGCGCATGGGTTTAGGGGTACTTTTCTAGACAGGCACAGCATGTAGTGCGCTCGGACCTGCTCTGTTATGATGTTCGGGATGCAAGCAACCTTCCATAACAAAATTTCGGGATGTTTGGTTTCGCCAAGCCACTGCCTTTAAAGGCAGTGCCCGGTAAGGTGGGGGTTTTGGAATTTCAGTACCATGCGAATGTGGGTGCTCCCCCTCCCCCACCCCTCAGACACAATATTGCGCAAATGCGAGGCCATAACGTTCGACTTAAAGCAAGAAAAACGGCCGGAAAGTGGAGAAACTTACGCCTTGAGACGGGGACCCCCGACCTATTCGAATTCCTCCCATTCGGCAGAGTACGCATGCCGCCACAGTCAATCGTAGGGTCCCGCAGCGACTCTGCGTTTCAGCCCTGGCGGGGACCGTCGAACTTTAAATTGTAAGGCTTTGAAAAACACATGTTCTCGCCGTTTTCGCGCCTTCTAATGTGGATTTTTAGATTGAGCGTTGCAAATAACCCCCGGAAAGCGGATCTTAAAATCGAGTTTTAGTCCGAACACTGCCTTTAAGCATGATAAATGGTGCTTTTGCAAGGGACAAGTACATTGGATTGATGCGAAATCACTTGCGTAATTCAAGAAGGTTTAAATAATTATCCATAGCCTGATTCCATGGTTCTATATTCAACAGAAAGTTTGCGTTTTAGGCAATTCTCTATTAGCACCTTTTCGTAGGCTAGCCTCGAGGAGCCAAGTGTCCTTAGACACTCAAATTTTATAGATTAGATTTTACAGATTTTATAGATATTAGTTTAGCTGTTAAGAATAGTAGAGTGCCGCTCAGCTCCAGAAAGTGTGAAAAAAATTTCATCAGTCCTTGTGTTATCATAGCAATCTTCAACCTGCCATGGAAATGCAAAACCAGAATCTTCGTGAAACCTCCCTTACAGGGAAAAATCTTATATCGCTGCAATTTCTTTCAACAGACCCGAACAAATCAGTATAGCCCAACAGCGCCTATACATAGTCTGCGTACCCAAAGGCCTTTCCCAAAAGGGTCAAAAGGAAATTAGAGGAAGAGGGGGGAAGGACAGAATGGATATCAACTTAAGCATCCAACATAGGAGCCCATTATCATATAGCATTAAAATCTCATCACCCCTTACTACTAGCCCTTACCTCACAACTTCTAGCAATGATTTTTCAAAAGGGGAACTTGGCCGTATGTAGTCCATAAACTTTTGCACTCATTAAGAATACACCCCAAACTGTCGATAGCAATCAACTTCTTCTAGCATATCATCTTCTGCTACAAAAAAGTTTAATACACCCCCAAACTGTCGATAGCAATCAACTTTTTTTAGCATACTATCTTCTGCTACAAAAAAGTTTAGTTTTTTACAGGTATCATTTTGGTTGAATCGTGAAGCATCACCAGCTCGCGTCGGCCTTGGTGTGACTACTGTGCTCACAATGACAACCCTCATCACTACAACTAATGTAAGCTTGGTCCTTGGACATCGTAGGATTTCAATCACATTGCACATTGCAGAATTCTATGCCAAAAGTTAGTTACATCAAAGGATTAGATGTCTTCCTCAACTTTTGGTGAGTTAGCTCATCACTTGACTGCATCCTGATTGACGAATTGTTTAACTTTGCAGTTTCGTTATGGTGTTCGCAGCTTTGGTCGAGTACGCAGTTGTTTCTTACCTGAACAAACGAATAGCACTTCGACGGGAGAAGCGTCGAAAGCAAGCCGAACAACAACGGCAAGCTGAAGTTCCAATGTTCAGTAACACGTTATCTCCAAAACAGCCGAATAATAACGTAAGCAGAGGGGTGAGCATTCATACATTTCTTTTGTGAGAGAATTTGTTTGCTCTAACCCAAAATTCTTCTCTGCTCGGACTAACATTGAGTTTGTAGATGTACGAGATGTCTTTAATCTCGCAGAACTCAACACCAGCAAAGAGTTTCGCACCGCATGTAAGTAGTTTTATCATCCAATAAAATGTATGGCCCTAGACGATAAATAATGATTTATCATTGCATGTAAACAACTTACATCAACCCCTTTTCATGACTTTACCCATGTAACACAACGACTTTGAGGTTGGAAACATTCGCATAGTGTTCTAGCTTGACGTACCCTTTGATTCATATGGATTGGCGGCTGGAGGGCGGGGCTTCGTGACCTATCAAGGCTAGAGAATGGGTAGCACGTGCGCGAGAGAGACTCGCACTACGTCGCGGGCGCGAGCGGCGTTAATTAGGTCACAAAGCCCCGCCTTTCAGCCACCAATCCAGTTAAATCAATGATTACTAGCCGCTCCTTCTTCAAACTCCAGTCTATTTCCAAATAAAATAGAAAAAAGGAGAAAAAGAAAGAAGTTAGAGGGTTGTTGCGAAGATACTTCCTTAAAGACTCAAATGCGTTAGTTGACCAGTACAAGTTTTTTTTTTCGTGTAGACTGCCCATGTGTCGTGTGTCTACCCTCACTTTACCTCAAAAAGGAATGCTAAATATAAAGGGTTGTTTTGAAAGCCCATCGGATTTTCAGCTGCTTTGTGTTCAACGCATCTATTTTTCAAAATTTTGCACTTTTTTGCAGTAAAAAAGCTAAATGATTTTTTCCTGCTCTTTCCAATGCGCACTATTCTTAAAACGCTTTCCAGAGATTTTGAGCCTTAAGCATGATTGATAGAAAGCAGTCATGCTCAAAAAAGTTTCGTAAGGGGAACCTCGGCAGTATTTTTGGAATTACGTGTGTAGGAATTCATGGTGGGTAAGGATGCAGTGCACATATGCACATTTCCACTCCGTCATAGGAAAGGCTTCTCAAGTTTGTCCTCAAGGATCACAGATTTGTTCCTCCCGCTTGATTCACATTGCTCAAAATATTAGCGCCCGTTTATGTGAATAAAAAGCGCGCTTAACATTTTCCGACATTTTCCAAGGTGGGCAGTTGCTCACCTAATGCCTGGGCAAAATTTCCACTTCAAGTTTTCCAATTCTCTACCTAAACCTGTTCCACACCTAAAGAGCTTAGTACATAGTAACATTTTGATTCCAAACCTATTTTCCTCCTTATTAGGGTTGAGCCAGAGTGCGCGGCGTACGGGCGACGTGACGTACGCAGCGTACGCTCGGTATGTTTCATCATAGGAGCGTACGCGGCGTACGCTGCGTACGCCGCGCACGCCGCGCAGTCTGGCTCAACCCTTAGAATCCGGAAAGGATGACGCCGGTTCTTTTGAGGATGAAAACTTCGAATAACCCACGCAGCTGGCGGGATCAAGTGGGAAATCGTAAAGTCAATTGCGAAATCGTTTCACCGATGTCCATTTGCCACCCTCGTGCTTAGCTCCAGTCTGCCCCTGTGGACGAGAAGTTTTCGTTGGTTCTACATGGCTTCATGTACATATGCTACACTCACGCATCAAATACGAATACGCAAATGGGCGGGGTAGCTCTGCCCACTGTGGCAAGCTCCACCCACTCAGCAAAAGGTGCTGGGAACTGTTTTGATCCTGAAATTCAAGCGAACTTCAACAATTCTGGGGGGTAGACGGAGCTTGTGCCACCAAAGGGGTGAGCCTGCCTGAACTGGGGCGGAGCCGAGGTTCACTGAGGTTCCCAAGTCATCTATTCTTCTATGCGGTCTGAGCACAAGGAACTTTCCTGTATAAGGCAACGGAATGGACGGAGTTTGCCAAAAGAGGGGCGGGGCCAATATGGAATCCTCCTGAGCCTAAAGCAGCCGGACAGCCTGCCGAGCAGCATTGCGCGGCACTCGTCAACGTGTTAGTCTGATAATATTTCGTCTTGTACGTACACTTTTTTGAGAACATGTGTTTCATTCGGAATAATCTCTTTCAAAACTCTTATGGTAATCCTATATTGATGTGAGGTGTTGGTAATCTGTTTTCTTATAGGAGGTGTAATAAAAGCAGCCTTAGAATTCCATTCATGCGACGCAGGCGACATACAGCGGTAGTTCTGCCCTAAGTGAAACGCGAGCACTTGTACTGGTTAATTTCGCATCTAATCATTTTGTCATGAGGAAACATGAGTAGACTGTGACTCTTATCGTCTCCCAAGTTCTGAATACTTAAAGGCACCGTCCACCCAGATTTTCGACATCCACGTTTTTGTCAGGGCCTTCTCATGTCCCTGATTCCGAATATGAAGTGGAGGATGCGCGAAAACCGCGACAATCTCCGTTCCGGAGAACCCACAGGCCGGCTTTCCAGAACGGTGATTGGATGGGCGCGCACAAGTGGGCGGGGCATGAATGGGGGAGGGCGGGCATGGATGGGGGTCCTCGTGCATCTTCGCTATTCCGAAGCGATTTTCTCGCTTCCGAAGCGGCATTTTGCGCCGCGACTTGGGCGTTGGACTGATAGGGGGCCCTACTATTATATGCTGCCAAAAGCTGAACACCCTCAACTTAGGGTGAACGGTGCCTTTAAGCCTTACCAGAGATAGTGGTCGGCATAGTGTGATGGTCACCTTCGTCCTAAGTTTCCTAACATTTATGTGTGACATTCCAGAGCGATATGTACTTCGGACCTCACAATTCGTCAATGGTTGGTTTCTTTTCAGTTAATGTGTTTATTCTGATGACTAGTAACCACTTTGCTTGCTATATGTATATTTTGCTGTGTGTTGCTTCATAAGTTAAAAGATGTGCTTTAAGCCGAAACATAAAAAGAGACATTACAGGACTGTTAGGTTATCGAATAGATTCGTTCTCACCTGGGCAAAACAAGTTTTGTTTCAACGTTCACAAGTTTTCTTATCTCTGAACTTTGGCAGAATAATGAATTTTGTTTAGCTTTTTCTAGAAAACAGCTTTTACAAGAAAATACTGTATTATGTCTCATGTTTCAACTTCAAAAGCTGAAAATGAGTCAATCTTCATCAAATTCGTCCCATTGAGAGCCTCGCCCACTTCGTGCGTTTGATACATCTGTCGTGATCGAAGTATAGCTTAGGCTGGGTTCATACTGATCCGAGTTCTCGCACTGTTTTGGAACTGGTAGAAACTATCCTGTATGCGCTGCAACCGCCCGCATGCAATTGCGGGGATTAGGGATTTTTAGCCGTTTTCACTGGTTTTTGTCTCAGACTTCACCACATCGGTCTCATTCCTCTACCCAGGTTCTCCTTGTGATGGGAAATACTGCGAACTTGAAGCGGGGTTGAAGAACGGACGTTGTAGCGCTCCATTTAGTAGGGAAGATGGATCTGCATGCCTCGTCGATTCATTTTTCGTCATTTTTCTTCATCATTTTATGTGTGTCATTTTTGTTTTTGAAAGCCGCTGCGTAGTTCCGCATCGGTATTGAGAGGGGCATAACCAGTTCAAAAAAAAACATAGTTGGCATGCTTTAGCTTAAGACAGAGCCTGTTGAAACTATGCGGCGGCTTCCTGGAACACATGAAGTAGGTTTGAGCTAAAATATTGACAAGACAATGGACGAGCGCAGAAGACACATCTTTCCGGATACATGGAAGCAGAATTTGGCTCATTTTCAACACCGCATCACGCATCTTTTCTATCACAAAGAGGAGTGGATAGAGGAATAAGACCGAAATGAGTGAAATCTAAGAAAGGCCCGATGGAAGGTCGAAAATCTCTAACTGCCACCGCTAAAAATCGCATGCAGGCGGCTGCAGCATATGCAGCACAGTTCCGACGCAGTTCCAGCACAGTGGGGAACTGTGCTGGAACTGTTCCGAAACTTCCGAATCAGTATGAATCCAGCCTTACAAGCCCTTTGATTTACCATGCTAGAGAGCACCATTATAGCTCTTCAGGTCGCTTACAGTTTATTTGACAGTGAGCGGTCTATTTATATTGGACATGTTTAACACAGTGACGACCATGCGGATTTTTAGTTGTCTGCTGTGTGGAACCAAGGCCTTTTACGGACCAGCCCACAGTTCTCAATTATAATTACGCATAATGCCACCTACAGTACACCTACAGTAGATCTGAAAAGCTGACAAAAAGAAGTAGAGGTCATCCCTAAATTCAGTGCAAAAGAGAGCTCATGGAATGAGTTTATCCCAAGATAGTAGTCATTTTGACAGAATTCAAACCTTGACGCACATGGTGTGTCAAGCGAACTGTCCCACACGAACTAAACACCATGTGTGTCAAGCTGTCGTCAATGTGTTAAGTAGCTATACATAGACCTATAGACTATCTGAAAAACACAAAATGATAGGAACTTCGTTAGATCACTTGTGATGAAAAATAAGCAAGAATGACCAGTTGTCCATCATAATTGCTCAAGCCTCTCATATCATTTGAGTATTCGCTAATGTATGGCTATTAGAGGCCCAAATAAGCTGTCAATGTCACCGTAAACTTTGAGAAAACATAAAAGGCTTTTATTGTACTCTTCGGCGGAATACACGATTACAGTACACGAACTAAACATACGAGTTGGAAAAGACATTTGATGGCATAAGCCTGATGGTGAGGATTGACTCATTTTCGGGCCCTGAGAATGACGCTTTCGCCAAGGCACAATAATGAGCCTGATATGGCATACAAAGAGCTAAAGCAATTCTAGCATTTTCTTACTATTTCTTTTGGGCTTACTCTGCTTTACAGACTGTGTTAGGAGATAGAGCGAAATACGCCATACAACGTACTCGCCACGCTCTCCAAAAAAAATTGATAATCTCTTTTCAAAATTTCGGCGGACTTATAACAAATGAGTTATGACATACTCAAGTATTTGAAAATACTACTGTAAATTCTCTGCCTTCATATATGTACATGCTAGAAATAGAAATCAAGAAAATCGAAATTAGAAAGCGTTTCAGTATTTTCAAATCTCCAAAATGTTCAGTAGTTTGCATTTTGGTGTCAGATTTTGCTTATACAGAATATAAGCGAATTCTTCGGGCGATCTCATGGAGCTTTCTCCTAGCGAATAGTAGCCATGAACAGGACTTTGCTCAATTGAGAACGAACTTATTGCTCAATGTGGTGGATATTAACATCAGTGAAATAGCATTCAAATCAAAATGTTTTTGTTTCAGAATCAGCTAATGGAAATACCAGTGGATTGCGATTGCCGAACCATCCCACTTATACAGCATCCACGACTTGTTGCTGATGGATCTCACACCATGTGGCCCGCACCATTTGGTAAACCTAAAAAGGTCAGTGGCAAGAGCACAAAGTAGTTCTGGTTTTCAAAGCACCTTTTCAGGCATCAAAGACTTGTAGAAATGTTACGCCAGCGAAAATAGACAAATGTAGCCGTTATATTTTCCCGTTGTTGTTTTTTGGATTCAACAGTAAGTTTCACAATGCTAAAAATAGCAAACTGAATTGCATGAATTTTAGTTATGTACTGGACAATAATGACGGTTCTGAGCTCGATGTCAGATCTCAAGAACGATGAATGGGAACCGATCATCATCCCAGACTGATTAGCTGCGCCTACGGGCGCAGTCAATTGGCCGGTTCTATACCTTCCCAACCCCGTGTCCGCTTCTGCAAAAAAGACCTGGTGCACCTCATACACTCATCACTCTTGATTTATGTACTCCACATATTTACGCACTGCAAAGGGGCAGTGTTATCAAATGCAAAATTTTCTCTAAAATAAATATGTAGATATCTTGCATGCATGCATGAGTGGTTTGGTAACGCTGTCGTGTTCAGAGAATTTTTGTTCGCCATCCTCATTTCAGCCTGAGCATAATCATACAGGATGTGATTTCTAGTCTAACAAATATTGCCATTATAAAACTTTTGACTTCTCAACTTATGACCTCGGACTGAGAGGCGCGCGCGTCCTCCCGCTTGATTCGCATTGCTCAAAATATTAGCGCCCGCTATAATACTGCTCCGGTGTCTCTCTTCTAACTTCCTCCAGGTTTCTGTTTTCTCTGATGTACATACTGTTTCGCCATCTTTAAAAACTTTGTTCTTTAGGCAAGATTATGTTGCTATATCGATTGGGTATCGATTTTGATTATGGGATTCCTATGCAATAAAAATGAAGAGTATAAGGAGGTGAATAAACAAACCAAAAAACATTTAGACGGGTACTCAACGGCCAACATCGAGTATCACTGGTGTGGAGCGGCAAACCCGAATTGTCCCACAGCCGTCAAAGCAAACGATGTTGAGCTACCTTCCTACAGGTTTGCGCAGTTCTGCGTAAATCGCACGATGGCTACCACTTCTTCGGGTGGGTGAAACTTTTCTTAATCGGAGATCAAGACGAAATCATCGCCTGGCGCAATCTAAGAAAGAAGCAAATTAGCAGTTTCCAAAAGGCAACCGAATCTAATATATTTGTCTCACCATTAGGCTCAAAGTTTTGAACACGTGTGGAACAAAACTCAGTTTCAACTCACACCAGTAAGAAACTCATCCTATTTATTCCTACTCAGCACAGTTACATCAAACTAGTAGCACATAAGGTCCTAACTCTTGGCGATCTTAGCACGCATAAGTAGTATTACTTTCTCGCATTCGTGGCAATACGGCCAATTTTGAAAAAAACTTCTGAAACCTTTAACCAGAAATGAACTTCTTTGAGTTGATGTGCTGTGCAAAGCCGAGCGCTTTTTGCGCACCACAACCATCCACTCGTTATCAGAAATTCATGTAATTGAAGCATCACAAATAAGACACTTAAACAACCAATGGCGCTAAAGATTGAAGTTGATGGAAGTCTTGATGAATTCTTTCACTCCATTGAGATGATATCAGAATTAAAAAATGTGCGCTAATACGGCCATTAGCGTGTGCGAGAAGGCCAATAGTATGCGGGGGCAGTGTCCAGAGGAGCTAATCGCTTCACCCTTTTACAGTGAATGGGAAGTGAGAGCGAATTGTGCGTAGAATAGATCCAGCTCTGTAACCGAGCGCATTTTAACATAAATTTGCGCTTCTAAAGAGCATAGGGAGAGAAACAAAGGGAATGAGAAAGCCTAATCGAAATTGGCCCAAAAACGATCTGGGAGAAGATGACGCTCAAATGGCGCTTCTTACATTTGTCACTCATTGGCTCTATAAATAGCAAACAACCAGCAGTGAAGGATAAGTTAACACAATGCCTCCTCTTTGTTAACACAATCTAATATATTTGTCTCACCATTAGGCTCAAAGTTTTGAACACGTGTGAAACAAAACTCAGTTTCAACTCACACCAGTAAGAAACTCATCCTATTTATTCCTACTAGCTATGTCTGGAGCAAGCACTATCGCAGTGGGTCATAAATTGTAAACGATTATTATTCTGAAATATCTTGAAAAGCTTCAAATCTGGCTCAACTTCTACATAGAAAAGGACAATAAGCATAAGCAAAAACCCTATAAAAATTTCCTCAAAGACTGCAAACAAAAACAATTCTCAAACGAATCTTATGCTTATCGAGAGTGCCCAATTAATGTTGGAAAGTGTGAAGTTTGAAATCAAGATATACATCAGCAAATTTTCCGTGAAATACCAAAATGTTTTTTTGTATTCATCTAATATCCCCAAAAGGAAGATCAAAGATTTTAGGTTTGCTTAAAACCTGAGGGTTCCCCCATAAGTTACATCTTTGTTATGTGTATTTATCGCATAAATGTAATGTTTCGGGTAAAAAATTTTGCTACAACTTCCGAAGGGACTATCCGGCATGCCTGAACACCCTATGCAATCTTTACTATAGCATCTTTGTTAAATAACGCAGTTACGCGAGATTGACGTGTGGGACTAACAACAAGATTACGTGCAAATTATTCAAAGTTCTTTGATACTATGTGCAGTGCGATGATCCAGCGCTTTTGGAAGCATAGTAGCACCTGATTCCCATTCCTAGTAACCAATTTTCTGCTGACGAACAAATGGTATCACACTGAGTCTCTCCAAAGCCAAAAACTAACGATTGGAATGATCTTGATCCGTACATCATAAAGTCTGTCAGAATTCCGTAGTGGTAGACGTTAGATGGACCTAACCTTTTTGAGCTAGAAAACAGCTGAGCAGAAAAGAAAAGGGACAGTTGAGGTTCATAGTGCTAGGTGATTCTAGTTCAAGCGATGTAGTTAAAGCACCAAATTTATTGTCGGCAAGTCAGAGACAGACATATCCTTAGCAAAATTCAAAGATAATCTTACCGTGTACCTATCATAACCCCACGTTAAAATTTTCTTGATGCTGATTATCCCCTCAAGGGCAGTAACTTGCCGGCGGTTCAGTGAGTCCGTCGCCGCAGCTTCCCCTTCTTTTCTTTTCATTATCATCGCTCTCATTCATCATATGTGAAATAAGAGCGAGCAATGTATGATTGCCGTTTGTCACAAATCCACCTCGGATGACCGAAGAATACCGTTTTAGCGCATCTAAATCACGGATGATTTATGATTTATTCGTATAAAACCAGGGTGTCCCAAAATGCACGCTGTTCGATCGTTGATAACTCGATTGCTTCTGTGTCTTTCGCCAATCTTTAGGTACCATTCTATAGTGTGGGCTTAGCTTCTTAGTGTGCAGTATGGGACAAATTATCGATAGCTGCTTATTAGTGTAGGATTACGATAGAAACCTTGACCGCCATTGAGAGGCCAAGTTTTTACAGAAAAAAAAGCAAACAAGCTCAGAACTCTTGGAACTAGCTAATCGTTGCTGACTCGAAATATGACATTTGCATTCTACCCTAATGCTTGTTTCGTAAGTTAAGTTAGGTATATCGTAGCAACCAATTTCCAGAGTTCCTCAAAAGTGCGATTGGGTATATTATTCGAAACCCCTGGACAACTAAGAAGTTGTGTAATGAAGCCAGAAAGCGACATTTCTCCAGAGGAATATCTTTTAGCGAACGTTTACTTCACAGTGGAGCTGCATGTGCCGGAATTTTCTAAAACAAACCCGCAGTAATGGAGGATTGAGCGTTCGGTGACTCGCTTCATATACCAAAGTAAACTGGAGCCAGCTCCAGGAGTAGTGACTTGCTAGCGGCGAAAACATCAAAGCTAGAAAGAAAAGATCAAAAACTGTGCACATTTTGGGACATATAAGCTAAACAGATCCAATCTAATACGAATTACGCAAACAAAAGCAATAGAATCGTAACGCTTTACCCCTAGTATCAAAACGATCAGTATTCAAACTACACAAGCTGTATAATTTCTGAAAAAGACTTACATCAAATAAGACAATGAAAGACATGCGAGTTTTTCTCGTTGAGCGAACACACATTCTGATTGGTGAGCTCCGACGAAAAGCTGAGAAACAGGCGCGCGGTAGTAACCGATAGGCTCAATCGGTAGTGCTCTTGACTGCGCTAAATCAATTGTGTATCTGAAAATAACTATGAAATTGACTGACAAACTTAACCATAGTAATTATCGTTATCAATAGATAATAGGTGAGCTTCCATCCATAGAAAATTTTCTGCAACTCCACGATTCCTAAACCGTTGCCCTCAATTCCAGGCTCATACTCTCGTCTTCTTCTTCTCTTCATCTTTGATAGAGAAAGCGGTTTCTACTTGCTTCAAATTTTTGTCCCAGCAGCTCTTGTGGTCGTTATCTCATGGGTAAGAATGACTTGCAACTACCCACTGTAAGCGTTTGCACAACTTTTTCAGGTGTCGTTTTGGATTTCACGTGATTCTCCACCATCTCGCACTATAATCGGCACTACGACGGTGCTGACAGAAACACATCTGATGACGGGCACGAATCGACGTCTACCTCCAGTCGCTTACATCAAAGCTGTCGATATCTACTTGGGATTTTGTTACCTATTAGTAGTCCTGGCCCTCATTGAGTATGCACTAGTGGCTTATACAAAGGCAAGCTTGTAACCATTCAAGTTCGTATTCTAATTCTAAACACTTTAGAAGAAAAACGAAGACCGCAAACGACGAGAGAAGAAAAATGAAGTGAAGCCAGCACTACCAACCCCGGACTTATTACATGGTTAGCGACTCAAATTTGAGATCTAGTTTCGATACGGATGGCTGACAAGCAAGATGAATATCTAAATTTCTAAACGTACCGTATCGCTTTCGTAACCTACCGATCGTAGATGCACACCGAAGTATATTTTCAAGCATGAAAAACTCAGATGTATTACTAACGCAAAGAGCCGGTTTCTTTAGCAATCATTTGACACCAAAATTTGGACTACATGTGTGCAACACTTTTCACGACATTATCATATCCTCAATAACGTAGACTTAATTACTAAAATTACTTTGTTAGACGGCCCGTTATCATCTTTGTGACCCAACTTGCGACCATTCATTTAATCAATCATCATCCATGAACGTCTTTGTATGCGGCTGCGTTTGCTGGATGAACAAGATCAGAATCCAACCTGTGACTACAGCTGTTTTACGCAAGCAACAAACGTCATACCATCTCTTCGGTGCTCTTCCACATGGACATTTCGAAGTTCTTGAAGTCCATTCCAATGTTTTTTTCTGTCTTCTCTTCTCATAATATGGCCGGCTGTGTTTGTTCTTCAATGCGTATTCTTCTGAATGAAGACGCGAAAGTTGCCTTAGGAACAGTATCGACTTGGGATGAACTCCGCATCCCAAGTCGATACTGTTCATCCTTCCTTATCTTCAAAAGCTTCCTTTCGAGCGCGTTATGAGTTGTTTATTCGCCGCTCCATAGCGCTTTCGTAGTTGCTGGATGTCTTTCCAAGTTGCGGCTGCGTAAACAAAGCTGGGAGAACTGCAACTTAGAAAAATGAACGCGTATGTTTGGATTTACAAGATGGTCAGTAGCCTCTCCCAAAATTCCGAATGTACCCATGCCGCTCTCTGTCTTCTGCTCAGTCCTTCATGTCGTTGATCCGAGATATACGTAGGATGTGGCCTCCTAGACCGGTGATCCATTTAAGTTCGTGACCTTCACTGCACCATTTGTTTCTCAAAAATTGCATTTATGGAGAGTCGAACGTGGAACACTCCGACATTGACAAAGTTCATTTCCTAATGAAGAGTTTAAATTCATCACTGCGTACGTGACATCTGGTGGCTCCCAGCGATGTAGAATTCGGGAAAAAGGAATTGCTGTGAAATAGACCAGTTGCAGCGATAAGTCCTACGAGTCTGTCTTCATTCTCGTTCCTACTTCCCAATTCAATTCCCCATTTCTGTCATCCAACGCAAATGAAGCAGTCGTAATTTCCGGATGCATTTTTTCAAAAGTATAAGCCGCATTTTGTTTGTGGTATCAAGCGAATGTAAGCAACTGATTGTGAGAATCACTATAGCTGTCTTAGGACAGGGCAATATCAAAGGACAGAACAAACAAGGGAGGATAGCATTCTTTCCGCAAAGCAGTGGCTTAGCAAATTGGACATTTCTCAGGACATTGTGGTGTTGGATAGCCTCTAAGTATAGGCCACTGCCGAACGGAGACGCAAAACCTAAAGGCGCGAACACGGTTGTAATAGCCGCGGAGCTCATGAAGCGCAGGTTTTACGACGGTGAAGACACGCCGCGTTCGCGCTCGTTCACTCGAAAGTGCTTTTGCGTCTTCGTCCGGAAGTAGCCTTTCTACTGTAGCGCTAACCTCCCCCACTAATACATGCGCCAAATCTTGACACCGAAGACTGACAAGGCCACGTTGTCGAGCCACTGCCTCTGAAGCACCCACGGTAAAGGGTACCACGGCGGGGTTTTTCGGCGTGTCGATCCTTACAGCAAACAGAATTAGAGCAAACAGAATTTATAGACACTCGATGATAAAATGGTTTTCTTTCTAAGGTTTCGTTAAAATGGCTGGGGACTAGGTCGACTCAATTATTTCTGAGAATCAACATTTTTTCTACAAAACTTAGTACCAACTTTTTTCACAAAAAAACTGGCTACTGACGGAGATATTGTGAAAGCAGTCAGAAGCCACCCAAAACCATCCATGCGAAGTATTGTGGAGAATCACAACATAAATGATTGCGGCATTACAAACAATACCTTTGCAGATGCTCGATTGGCAGAATGTACATGTAACCAAGCTCCAACATCAATCATCGCCGTTATCAAACAACCAAATCGTTTTACTTGCGTCCGGCATTCATATATTGATATCGTCAGCCGTTTTGTGTTCCCAAGCACGGTAAGTCGCGTTCATTTGATCTTCGCATGAGCTGAATTGAAAATTGCCGAGTTTCTCGTGTGAAAGCTGAAAGGGAAGGCCTAGCTAAGGCCTTGCACAAGTGGCAGCTATTTCCATTAGTGGCCAAGAAATTAAAATCCGCACTGTTGCCCACTACCGCACTCTCTTCAAAGCACCAGCCTCCCGATTACGGTAGTGGGCAAGGGTTTATAATGGAGAATTTTGAAACGAATTGTATAAGCTGCTATCTGAGTGAAGGCTCAGTCAAAACCGGTATTCATATAAGAAGTCTAGGTACCATGCTTGTCGACACTGATTTTATTTAGGCTGCTAAATGCATTTTTTTCTTTCAGTTTCTCTTATTCAACATACTCTACTGGGTTGCACTGTTGGCCAAAGCACAACGCCTTCCTTATATCAACTCTCTTTCGGGACAAGATCGTTGTTAGAAAATGCTTTCATTGTTTTTGCCTGTACTGCATATAGCACAATGCTCAATTTTGCATTTGCCGTTTATACTCACTCGCTTATATCGTCGCTGCCTCTGTGTAAGCTCAGGACAGAAAATGCCAATCAAAACCTTATATCACCTTCAAAATGCATATTATTATCTCGAACCGTATAAAGCGTATAATCTTACAATAAAGCCTACAGTCTAAATAATGTCTTCATTGTATGTTTGCTGAACATTATTAGTGGCAGTAAATAAAAGATTAACTATAATTCTTTATTTCTCATCAGAAAAAGAAATTTGTCAACACGGGCAATGCTAGGCCTGAGGGGGATCATTAAAGAAACTGTACATAGCAACTCTAGCACAAATATCGTGCTGATTGTCAAATGGGACATTAACTAAGTAAATAAGAAATCTCCGTATATCCATAAAATCATTTCAACAAGAAATTTTTTTCACACATAGCAATAAAGGCCTCCAGAGGCTCCGTAATTAGCGACGGTAACATCACAAGCACACGCAAAATCAGCTCAAAAATCACACCGCGTAACTCGTCCATTTTTCTGTTGATCAAAGTGGACAAGCCAAGCGATGTGCCTCTTTCGTCAATAACAAAACAGATAACAAACGTCACCAATGTCAACAATACGAAACCTTCAGGTTAGGGATAAAGATAAATAAAACACACAACCCGAACTGATTACACAAATTGATGTGAATAAGTGTAAGTGCCTGACAATACGGTAAAAAAAATTAACACACAAATTAATAAAACTGGCCCTGTAGAGTTTAAGAGGTGCATGTGAAAGCGTGCAAGCTGACTAGTTAGCTATGATCACATAGAACAGCTATAATTACTGGATGTATCCTAAAGTCCATCGACAACCAGACTCTGGCCATAACGTAAAGGATCGCCAGCTTTGATGGCAAACTTGATCGTCGGTGGAGCTTGGAAAACCTAAAGCCATCAAGTTTAGACGCACTATAATTGCGCAATTTATATGAAAAAGTGCATGGGAGACAAAAGGAAAAGTAGAGAGGTATCGAGTCCGCAAATCTATACCGACCCAATGATGGTGTCTATTCGATCACAATCCGTTCACGTCTAAGAAATTTCCTAAAAAAACACTAGCTCAGTACCGTATTCGAGGATGCCTGGTCTGCTCAATCCAGGTGAAACTGCTTATCCAAATCCTGTTACTAATAACGCTAGAAAAAGCGCACAAGATCACCCCATGAGCTCATAAGAATTGTTTACTGCCACACAGGAAAAATCGAAAGTCTTGCGCACACTGTATTCTTCCAGGCAGATCAGCGTTATCGAGTACCGTACTGAGCGAGAGTTTAGAAGGGAATTTCTTAGCTGTGAATGAATTTCATGAGCTTGTAAAGTTGATAAATTTTATTTTATTCTGTTGACCTTTATCAAGAAAAAAGAAGGAACTTACCAGCACAACAGTAGAGCCTAATCGGAATTCTCCAACACGATCACCAGGAAGATAGGCACTATGCATGTCAGTTTCAATATGCAATATTTTATCCTTCTTCCGCCTTACCAAATTTGTTCGCAGCGTTGGTTCCTAGAAAATATCTTACTTGTCTTAACTTCAGAAAGCTAAATGCAAGACTTACAGCATCGATAACAATATCTCCGACATTAGTAGCCGCGACAGCTGATAATGAAAAGAATCCATGTTTCCATGTTCCATTTAGTACTACTCGCTCATTGAGACAGAACAGGTGAGGGACATGGCTCAAAAGTGATGGACGGACTGACAGCAGCAGACCTAAACAAAAAATCTGAGCAAAAACTCATATGGTCTGGAAAAGAAAATCTACCTGGAACATGACGGCACATTTTTGCAACCCATCTTGTTGGTGAATGGAAAGCATGGTAATTTCCAGGGGCCAAGTAAATCACAACTTGATAGAGGTCAAGCTCATCCTAAAGATGGCTGTTCACGACTTCAACTTCGAAAAAAATTCCCAACAAGCAATCCGGAAATTAGATGACGAACCTTTTGCGTCATTTCGACATCACCAAGAAAGGAAGCAACCTCATAGTCGTGTCCTTTGACATATTCGATCTTTCCATCTTCAACTTTACCATAGTGAAGTACGACACCATCAGCAGGGGAGACCTATACAAAAAATTTTCAGGGATATTCCAAGCCCTAAATTCACCTAATTGGCAGGCAAGATTCAATTGCTCATGAGTCCCCCTGACATTAAGTAGCAGTTTTTTGAATTTATTCAACATAAGTCACGAGTACCCTGCTTTAGTTGAAATAGCTGGTATACTTCGTGAAAATTCGGATCAAATCGTGGAAGAAAAAATTCCGGGAACTCGGCTGCCACTAACCTTTTTTTCTGATTTTCAAAGCTACAGGCTCGCAATTCTACAGAGTATACCAGTTTTTTTTCAAAGACTTCTCTGCCCCGCCCCGGAAAAAAAACCTTTCGGACTGTTATTTTTCATTACTATTTGATCAGATAAAGAGACCAACGACTCATGAGCATTATCAAGTCGACATCTTTACAGCTTGTGGGATTTTTATTTTCTTTTTTCGTTGAAAAGTACATTTCAAAACCTACCAATGAGCTTGCGCTAATCGGTCGCACTTCTTTTCTAAGTTGTCGATTGAAGAAGGCAGCAAAGGAGCGGTAAGCCTAAAGAACAAATTGATCCAGGATCGTAAAAAAAATCAGTCCCCTGAAGTTTGTTTTTCCAGAAAAGACAACAATTTCACCGAAGTTAGAGAGGTTCCCTCTATGACTCACACACGACCCCTCTATATTTTTTCGATTCAAATTAGATTGTTCTGACAAAACGGGTCCTGTGAATACTCATAGACAGACAAGTCACACTATGCATAGATAAACATCACAACTAGGTGAATCATCTAAATCTGGAAAAACACTGCTAAGTTGGCCTATTACTACGAAGAGCCCATAAGAAGGATAGATTGCCTGCGTTTATAGGACAAGTACATTGTTTATGTAGCACTCTAGCAACTACTTGTTTTTCCCTCATTATTCTATTCAGCATCTTCGTCATCTAGTACTATTCCAGAAAAAAAAACAATATTGCAATGGCAATGATCTAGAACGATGGAGTCGCGTCATTATGATATCATACGATATGACATACAGATTCTACAATTATGACAGTTCTAGCAAAACCGAATTTTTTCGCGCCTTTATAGGTTCCAGTTCCCATCAGGTAATGATAGCTTACGCTTTCGACAACATTCACTTCCTCTTCACACACAACTACAGCCATAACAGGAACTCAAATCTAATGCTATGTTTTTCAACTGCAGACGGAACAGATTAGACCCATTCAAGAAGATCTGCATAACTACTATGTGTGAGGTAAGTGGGAATTATGCTAGTAGTGTGAACAACAAGGAAGAAAAATGTTGGCTGAAGTTCAAAACTCACCCTAAAGTCTGACTCTATGGCTTCATCCATTCGGCAATCGTACATCCGGGCAAAGAAGCCCAGGATAGGCTCTCGAAGCCATACGGGGATTTCCCGGTTTGCAATGCCGCCTACAAGACGGGAAGCCGCATTGAATGGTAGTGACAAGTACGTCCTAATCTAAAAACAATTTTTTAGTAGATTAACTAGCAATCTTAATTTCAAGAAATTCTGGGAAGTGCTAACAGATGAGATGCAAAAAAAAAAGTTTTGCAGAATTACAGTACAGTCGACCAAAGGGGAAAACTTGTTCGGGGTCACTTGTAAAAACCTAAAAACCTCGAAGTAACCCAGTAGGCAAACTGTTAACTTTGCTAGACAGAATGGAAATATATGAAAAATGCAGGCATTCCAACTCGGTGAAAAAGAGAAAATTGACTCGCATTATCTGAATTTCATCTATATATCCCTCTCCATTCCAAAATAGTAAAATATTTACCCCTCAATCAGTCACCCTGGTCCATCCTATCCTTCCTAAAACAAGGTATACAAGCCATCTCTTGCACAGCGCTTAAGTGACTGCAATTCGCGGACAACGATGTCGCCAAAAAACGATGAAAGAGGGAGCTAGCAAAACGAAAACGAGGCGCTTAAAGGCAGTGTCCAGGCTAAACCTAACCCCCTTTGGTTAGTGTCGGTCCTGAATGTAGGCCCCAGAAAAGGGGCATCTGCGTTGGTCCGGTCTTCTAACGTTGTCTCTGAATGGAGATAAGGGGCCTGAAAGTCCCTGGCTGGGCGGAGTCTGATATCAGACTCCGCCCACCAGGGACTGCTCACTACCTTGTCAATACGTGCCTCTCGACATGTTTTGACAAGGTAGTGAGCAGAAGCTGCCCACTGCACACTGCAATGCAACTGCGCCCATGCAGTTGCAGCTCCTTCCCCCTGGCCTGCCGACGGGACGAGCAATTCGAAACTCGTCCGCGCCCTTAAGACTGGGTCCCCAAGAATCGGGTTTTTTGTGAATTTTAGAGAGTTTGAAGTTCGGAACTGTAATCAGGGCCACGGAAAGGCCCCAGAATGACGAAAACATGGGGGGTTAAATTCTGGGTGGACGCTGCCTTTAACCTTGAGTCTATAAACGCACAGAGAAATTGGAGATGCTGGCGCACGAAAAGATAGCTGCTGCATGTTTTGGATTAGTGCTAGTCTGCAGACAGTGCAAAAGGAGAAGCTTGCCAAGGACTTGGGCAAGGTTCACGCGATTTCGTCACTGCGATTCTTCAAACAAGACAAACAGCTACGAGTTCATTGCATGCCGATGTTCTTGCATTTCGGTTGTGATAGTTCTAACACAGCTAAGCGTGACTAACTATCACAACCGAAATGCAAGAAGATCGGCATACAATGATATTGTTACAGCTGTTTTGTCGCGATCAATCGCGACGATCAAATCGCGTGAACTCTGCCCGAGGCTTGAGAAGAAACCACCCTTTCTTTCTTACTTTGCAGATCAGCAAACCATATGCTACCTTAACAGCAAAGAAATTGTTACAATGCCATTACGAAGGCAGCCAAGTTCCAAAAAAGCGTTCATCGTGCTTGAGTTCTGCCTAAATGTGGAAATTTTTGATTATAAACAGGCCTTTATGACAATAAAAATTTGACATGCTAGAAGCACGTGATCTGGTCTGGAGAAAGCAAGAAAATGCGTCCGAATGCTGTGCAAAAACTGCTGGGGAAAAACTGGAGGATTTGTTTCAAAAGTGCGCATAGGAAATCGCATGAGATCTGCACCAAGAAAAATTATGCAGCGATTGTAGCACGCATTATCTATTAACTGCTTTATCAATGTTATTCCCGACCAAAATACGAGAAGTAAATTCCGCGCAGGCTAGTCATAGTTAGCGTCATTTAATGCTATTGTCATCATCGAGTGGAACACCAATTCCGTGCGACATATGACGTCTTAACCAGTTCGAATGGAAGCAAAACTGGATGGTCTAGACCGATTTTTATCGAGATCAAGGTATTTTGAGTATATCTGAGGCAATAAGCAATAATGGTAGAGCAAAAAGGAGACTGCAAACATCATGGAATCCAGCGGAAAAGCAAAGACTGGAAAATCATTATTCAGAGGAACATCATTTCCAAAGATTTGACATAATAAAAGAATCCCGTATTTGCGCATCTCAGCTCAGCTTTTAGTGCGAGACAAAACTGCATGACTTCGAACAGATTTCTTGTATCTGCAACTCGTAAAGCGATGAAAGATTTGAATAAAGTGTCACCAAGGTACTTTGCAACTAAAAACTAACTACTAATTAAAGGTCACAGATTCACTCTTATGGATACTAGATAGATAAAGATACGACGTTAACAATTCCTTTTGTGCATTTTTACAAAATAAAAAGTCAATTTGACCAGAACTAAGCAAATCTGGTCGGTTAAAGTGAGCTTCGTTTGAGGGTAAGCAGAAAATCTCCATGTATCAAACGATGATAACTAGTCGAAACCCTAGTGGACGCTAGTCATGTAGCAATAAATACTTATTTCCTTCACAGAAGATGTACTAGAAAATGGGGCGCAAACACAGAGAGAAAAGGAATCTGCAGAATCTGATTCGGACTAACAAAAAAACACAAAAGAATATTTACCTTGACAGCATAGAAAAACATTAATGTACGCAAATCGCCTACTTTACAATCTGCATTCTTGAGAGTAATTTGTCGCAAAATCTCAGAATTTCACGATAATAATCCTTGTCCACTTGCAGTAAAGCATATAATCTATGCATATATGAGGTGCGGCACAATGCCGTAAATCATATATGCCCAGATTATATGCTTTACTGCACAGAGGGGTCACGCTGAGTACCCCGGAAGTGGGCTGAATGGGCTGGAAGCATAAGTTGAATGCTGCTAGCACACTGTATAGTAAATATCTAAACAGCAAGGCATAATAAAGAGACCAAATGTAATTTTGCCTGATTACTCTGAATTTGCAGCACTACTGCAAAATTGAATAAAAAGTTCCTTTATAAAAGTTCAAGCCTGCGAGATTAATGAGAATTTTGCAAGCGCATGGATATTACATGAAAATGACCGAAGAAATTTGCACCAAAGATTGTCCACTTTTCGCCCCAGCTTATCCTCTACGTTCACAGCTCCGCTTGCGTCAACTCAATCGGCACGTTCTCTCTCACAGACATTCAAAATCCCATCAAAAGCATCTCTATCTCTCACAACGACCGCCGATGAGAACAGCAAACTGCGCAAAGAAAAAAGAACAACGCCGGGTTCCGATCACGCCATCAGCGACGACGATTGCGAGCGGCTGCTATAACACAAAAAGTGTCTGCAAACGAGTGTGATCAACGCAAAAGAGCCAGAGACAGGTCATTTGTGATTTAGCCATGATGAACAATTACAGAGAAAAAGATATGCGATATAGAAATTACAAAAAAAGGCAATAAAAAAATCAAGTTCAAAATGATCATTCGATCCAAAACCCAAACAGGAAAATGACTTTTGCCCATGAGATTCGATGATTGCTTCAGGCCCATAAAGATCAACGCTGCAGATAGCGCATTAAATCTGTTTTTGCAAGAGATTTACGATGAGAAGCGCAAATGCTGGCATTAGTGGACGATGGTCTTCCAGCCTATAGGATTAGTGAACGGTAGATTCAGAAAGACCTGAGAATTTGTGGTGAAAAAACAAGCGATCACGCGGCTAGTAATGCTAGTTTATCAAAATCTACAAAGATCAAAAGTAGATATTAATCTCTATCAACGAAACAGCATGAAAGTAAAATTTCCAAGAAAAAACTGTAGCGCAGAAAAGCAGAAAAAAAAGAGGAGAAATACTCAAGGGGCAGGAAAAAACATATATTTAGTCACCTTTTTTATTCTGATCCGATATTTCCAGCAGGATACGTTTCATTCCTTCTAGCGATCAAAATTTTTGGACCAATTGTCCGGATGAAAAAGCTGACAAAGAAAATTGTTCTTAAGAGATATGGTGAACACCTCGCTGCGATTTATAATGAAAGCGAAACGGATGAGGATTTGAAAAAAAAAGAACCAAAAAAATGATGTACGATAAATTAGTAAAGAGATCCAATTCTAAGAAAAACTCAAGCATAAATAGTGAATTATATCGTGAAATCAGACTGCAACATTAGATAGATGACTTATTAAAAAATATGTAAGAACTAGTAACAAAACCTTACCTTCCAATTTGAGTAATAATGTTTGCTATCGACAATCTCTCGCCAGTCCGGTGTCACCAAATATCCCATGTACGAAATGGTACCGATCACTAGCGTGCTTACCGTCAACCATTTTGCCCATCCCCCTGAAAAAAAAAACACATTAGGCAACAATCGATAGAATAACTAGAATCTGTAATTTATAACCATCGATGGTAAGATAGCCCAGAACACAATCATCCAGAAAAACTCGCTCTTTTCTACTAGGACGATCGTTTAGAGATTTTGTTGCTATTGAAAAACAACCGCTGCCATTGACGAACGAGTAATTATGCAGAAGTATTAAAAATGATTCAATCCAGCTTTCTTACCCCACCACTCATTCTTTTGCAAACATGAACTGATAAGAACTTTGCTTCATAACAAACAAATTTCACCTGCATGTCTTGTTTGCACCAGTAAAAGTACGAATTTAAGCAGATTTAGTCTGGCCGAGCAAGACCAATGAACTTTTTCTATAGGTACAACTAGCTGGCTTGCCCGGCTCCGCCGGGCCTGCCAGCTAGACCCGTGTACGTATGTTCCGGATAGAAATGTTTATTTCTGAACCGATTGGGACCGAACTTTGCACACATACTCTTCGGGGCAGGGAGCCTGTCACAGTCCACTTTTCGTTATCGATCGATATCGATTTTATCGATTTTTTGCAAAATTCGAGCTAGAGGGCTGGGATTTTGCACAGGGGGGTAATCGAGCATGCTGATCACCCCCTTCGGGGTGATCAGCATGCTCGATTACCCCCCTCTGCCAAATCCCAGCCCTCTAGCTCGAATTTTGCAAAAAATCGATAAAATCGATATCGATCGATAACGAAAAGTAGCCTATGACACGCTCCCTGCCCCGAAGTATATGTGTGCCAAGTTTGGTCCAAATCGGTTCAGAAATAAAAATTTCTATTCCGCACATACGTACAGACATACAGACAGACAGACAGACAGACATTCAGCTTTATATATAAGATTCTGAACTTGGTGCAATTTCTGCCGCAAATTTTAACGAAAACGGCCAGCATAAGCCCATCATTTTTTGGATGGAAAAAAATTCGTGACAAAAACAAGCACAAGCATTCTGCGTGAATCTTTGCAAACCGCAGACAAATCCGAAAATAAATTCTTCAGTTTATAGAAATGGAATAGATAAAGGCGTACACGGATGACAGACCTAATTCTGTCTGATATATAAAGATCTAATATATAATCTAATATATAAAGAATCGCAAGCTCATTTCAAAAATCAACAAATAGCGGGAAACCGCGGTGCGGTCCCGAAGCGCGCGCCTCACATAGCACCTTTAGATTACTGGCTCAATAGTAGATGCCCTTACAATTAGAACACAGAGGAGTAGACCAAGATCGAGATCAGCGGTATTTCGTTCGTCTTTGAAAAGCAGAGCTTTTGCAGAGTGATTGTAGCACAAAGTTTACTCTTTCAGAATCTTTCAGAGTGAGCACATATAAATATTTTTTTATAACTAGAAGAATTTGGTATTTATATTTATTTATTTCAATGCACCTAAAAGTGTTCTCTAATCCTGATTTTTATTGATTCTACCTCTAAATTTCCTCTTTCAAGTAGACATTCAAGAAAGCATAGTCCCTCAACTCTCGCATCGATGCAGCTTTGTGTTAGCTGAACGGTTAATTCACATAGCGCTCCTAGTGTTAAATAAACAGTCACAACGTCAGCCGTGACCAGATGTGTTGTAAGCAGCGAGAGGCCAAAAGTCAGTTTGACTATAGCTGAGGTAATCCGAGAACCAAAAAAAAACGAACAAAGATTGAATCTTCCTGGAAAATCCGATATTTTGATCCACGATTTCATGATAGTAAAGAAAGGTCAATGAATCATCAACTATTCTTTTACGAGGACTTTTTTGAGAGAAAAAGCAAAGAAAAAGCAGGATTCCCATGGAAACTATTTGCTAAACTGAAGAATACCGCGCAAAAAAAACCCCTCAAAACATCCGTATTATTCTACATAAAAAAGTATCTATCTACAATCCATCAATACGTTATTCAAGAAATGATTCACCATTGCTTACCATGCAAAAATGGGACACAAAAAAACGCTAATGTTCAAATGACGTTGTTGAACTAAAGTCCATTTAAATGCAGACCATTTCCTTTTCAGATGTATGATAACGCTGTTGAAAAAAGCAGAAAGTACAATTCGTCCGTAAAGTTCACTACTCATTCGATACATCTCACGAATTATTCTTTAGTCTCCGACATTTGCACTTTTTTCATCATATAAACATTGCAAAATAGTGCAAAAAGGTTATGCCAGTCAATTTGGTGCATTGCATTTCTAATGGCAATGCTAATACAGTTGAGAAAAAAAAGCACTTATAAATGCAACAAATCAAACATTGCATATCTTTATGGCCAAGCCATCTAAATGCTTTAGTCCATTCATAACAAATAGCTTTTGAACGTTTCCAGACCACATAAGAGGAGCATGAAAATGCATTTCTTGCATTGCAGTGCCTCAAGAATCCAAAAACTTGAGAAATTTCACGCTAGAAAAAATCGATTGCGAAAAACTCGTCATATTGGTCCCTCGAGGATATTTCAAAGATCCAAAGATGGCAGCCAATATTCCCGAGGGTGATCTTTGCGCGAGGCGAAAGCGTGGGTCTCGTAGATTCATAGATCAAATGTATGGGGCTCGTCAACAGCGAATAACGGACATGGGGGTCATGTGACACAAGACTGAGCTCATGAAACATTTGGAGCAAAAAAATGGAAAAGATCGCTGAGTAGGCCAAAAAACTTGTGAAAAAAAGGTTCTAAAACAGAAAAAACTTGTTAAAAAGACCTAAAATGCAACAATTTACAATATTTTCTCCACCCCCCCCCTCTCCCCTATAACGTTTTTCTCCCCGGACTGCTCAAGCGGGGATAGAGACGTGACTCACACTACCTCGATTCACTCTCCGTCCTCGTAGGACAATGTGCTCAAGGTCGGCCACCCAATCCCGCTGTAAACAAAGCGGATGACTAAGCGTACCTCCCTACCTTTTCTAGCAATAACCATAACCGAGCTTCGTAGAAGTAACAAAAAAAACATAAATTCTCAAAAAATCAAATTTACTCACACATAGGTATGAAAATAAGCAGTGGATGAAGGACAAAGTCGAACCAGCTTGTAGTTTCGTGTATAATTAACATCTCTTGCTCTCCTCTGGGATACTGTATTTGTGGACGATTCTCGAATTTTTGAAGAAATGCAAGCAGCGATTTATGGAAGAGCACTCAGTGACTACCAACTGATGGACGCCTCCAAATAGTAAATGGGAGCGGACGGAAGGGGGTGGACACGAAGCGGACACGGGGGCGGGGCCCCGTCGCACGTAGCGAACACTTCGCGCGCGTATTCGGCGAATTCGCGTCATCTTGCTCGTCTTCTAGCGAATCCGGGAGGTAAGAAGAAGGTCAAAGCAAGTTAAAAATAATCTGCTAGACGAGGTGATGATCTGTGGTTCAGAAAGAGAGGAACAGGAACAATTTTTCTACTATTAGGATGACATATAGGTCTTGTACCAGAAATTCCGACTAGTTCCGACGTTCGAGGTGCCTTTCGAATTTTTTCAGCACATTTCCTTTTATAGTTCAATCGTAGTGAAATTTGATAAATTTGTTACATACTTTATTTCAAAAAATAAAAAAACTGAAAATTGTAACTAACGTTAGTACAAACCTCTCCTCCTTAAACGGATGTAAAACAGAGATTACCTCTTGATATCATTTTAATGAATTTTGCAAACTACTGATTATGGATTATGAAAAATTTAGAGACTCATTTTCTAACTTAAATTGGAGAAAAGTTCTTCCAAACTGTCCATAAAACGTTTTTCTTTTGCAACAAAGTGATATTTCTAAGACCTTAAGTCACGTCTCGCATTTACTAGTAACAAATGATTCTTGCTGGAACTTTCTTGATCTACAGTTCGTTGAAAAATGCACATCTTAGTTGAAACAATGCTAGGAACAGAGTACATTGACAGACATTACAAAAAGCCTATTTTCTTGAAGATTTGACTCCATTATCCATGAATGAACTTCATATCGAGATTTGCTGTTCATTTTTCAGCCGGAATCAATGCAAAGCTAAAATCTCAGGAAATGCTATGCAAACAAAACCTTCATTCTGTCTGCCAGTCTGAAGGGTGTCATTTAATAGCTTGCCGTCCAGTAAGTCTCAGGAAAATTTTCAGCTTGGAAAAATGCATGTGAGCGTTTTTCAAGGTTAGTGCAAAAATTGGGATATGATTTGTTTAGTACAGATTAACACTTGGACGGTGAAAATGGCTATAAGCGTAAATAATTAAGAAAAAGAGCAGGATGTTCTACGAGTGGTAGGTAGTTGACAAAAACGATTTTTTTTCAAATTTGAGAGAATATAATTCTACCGAACTGTTTTCATGCGAAGACCAAAGAACAACATGGACATGAGAAAAAAGTTGAACTTTCAGTATAGATTATCCCTGATAGTTTTCGCTGCAACTAAGTGCACTCGTCCTATTTGCACTTTGCTATAGATAAAAAACCAGTTTACTTCGGCGACTTAATTCAAACGGCGTAACACACAACTCTAACTGACAAGTGCACTGATAGCACTTTCTAGAAACTAATCTGTAAGCTCTATTTCAAATCTACCAGATTATCTTTTACATTATGCAGTCAAAGCACATAACATTGATGTGACATGCAAAACGATCATTGTACATTTGCTGCCCGCCACCTAGACAATCGAACTCAGCAGAAAATTTGAACCAAACAAAAAGCCTCCTAGGTATTCACTTGTAAGAAATTTTCGCATAAATTATAGCCAATTGGCTTCTCTTTCACGAACGATTAACCCATGTACGCAAAAGCTATTTTGGAAAACTAGGATTTTTTTCAAAGACAAAGCGCTAGCACTCTGGTTATATGAAGCTAGATCAAGAAGAAGCCATATTTCTTGTAGTTTTACTCGTGAAAGCAGAAAAGAAAAAGCAATTGAAACAAGTAAAAAATAAATAAATCACTGCGAGGGGGAGAGGGGCATGGAGTTCGTAAAGAGTTGCTTTGGGGGAGGAAGACGTGGAGTGGGGACCCGGAGGCTAATAACTGATAAGCGTTATTGGTGAGGCAAAAACGAATCAAGTTCTGTAATTCGTAGTGACGGACTGATTTGACTCCCTTCCCCCCCCCCCCCTCCAGCCTCCATAGGGAACAAATCAAAAAATTTGTTTTAAAGGCAGCGGACAGGCAAAATGGACCCCTGTCAGATTTTGGTAGTTTCGGGTAGTGGACCCCCCAAGTACACCGTAGCCCCAACCCCAACTTCCAATTCATGCGCTAAGTCCTGAAAAAAGCGCTTCAAAACTCCACCAGCCCCGCCCACTTGCATTGAGTGGGCGTTATTGGTGGAAGTTTGAAGCGCTTTTTTCAGGACTTAGCGCATCAATTGGAAGTTGGGGTTGGGACTACGGTGTACTTGGGGGGTCCACTACCCGAAACTACCAAAATCTGACAGGGGTCCATTTTGCCTGTCCACTGCCTTTAAATGACTTTTTCTGAAGATTTTGTGAATTTTACAAAAATTCAAATCAGCATTAGAATTTCGAGAAAATGTGAGACTTTTGGGCTATAACATTATAATTGTATCTCTAGATATTACCCCAGAAAATTCTGTCCTTTCCTCACAAAATTTTTTTTTCAAAACTGATTGATCAGTCGCTAATCGGTTACCTCACTCGAGACCACTTCTACAGTATTTGATTTGCAATAAGGCACATGCCAAGTCTACTTGATCCGCTTGATCCATTCCATCCACTTCGCCATAGGTCAACTCAGTGAACTGACCGAAGTGGATCAAGTGAAACAAGTGGACGTCGGCGTCGCCATTGATCAGTTCACCGTTTTGACCATTAGCAAAGTGGATAAAGTGGTGTAGGTGTATCACGCAGATCAAGTGTGGTGCGTGCCTAAGTAAAAAAACAAAAAACATCACACCGGGCTAATAAGATAAATCCCACACCGCAGTTGCCAAACTTTCCGAGATCGTATCAGTGCTTTGAACTTTCGATCTGTTCGTTACCAGAACGATTAATCTCATCGTTTTGTTTCTGTTTTTCTGTGCGATAGCGCATCATATTAAGGCGATGTATCAAGTAAATGAATAAATTGGTTGGAACTGCATCTCTTCAACAAACACGACTACATCATTCGATTAGAACGATTGCTGTCGCATTATATCAATTCAAATGACAAACAAATTCCACTATGATTCATGGAAATGATTCTTTTAGTCTGTGATTCATCATAGGAAGAACTCCTTTAGAAAATTTCACATGAGAAAAGAGAGACCGTAGGAAAGAAAAAATGGCATCATTTTCGAATAGATGCGTCACTGTCTGATAGATCCATGAACGGATTTACTTCAAAACAATCCTTATAGGTGCAACAAAAATGACTTCAAAAATTCGGGCATATGATCTGCAATCTGTCCGAACTACTTAAAAACTTAAAAGAATGTTACCAGTGTTCCTGCAGAAAAACTAATTCCGTCCACATCTCGTGGAGTAGAAACTCTGTAATTTTAGGTTATAAATTTCGCAATTGAGTCCGTATTTCGCTTTTTGATCTTGGCGTCTCTTTTTTATATTATGTAGAGTAGAGTGTTAGCTACAAGCTGGAACAAGGCGCTCATGTGTCGGTGATAAAATAGAAAAAAAATCCGGGCTTATTCCGAAACTACTGAAATTTGAGATTTACGGGATCATAAGCATAAATGAAGCCGTTCACAACCTAAATCACGCACAACGTCCCGAAAATGTACAGGCATTGTTGCCAGAGATTGATTTGATTTAATCAACAAAAAAGTGGAATCTGAAGATAAGTCGACATTTGGCGCCATCACAAAGTTGAAGGAATTACTATACGCAACTGCTGAGGGGCATCGTCAATGGCTGGAAAATCGGAATTTCATTTTTCGCCGAGAATTTGCATACTGGGATGATTTGGCTTGCCGAACACGAATATCATATTCATTTGTTTCCGGTGAGACCCCGTACCGTAAGCCTAATCATATCAGTACTGATAACATGATCAGCAAGTTGGATCCCCCCCCAAGCCAAGCTTCAGCTAAATCTGACATCATCAAAAATTCCCCATGTATCATATACCTACCGTAGCTCTACTGCGACGTCAGAATTCGGCAGAACCGTAACTGTACTTGTAGCTTACGTCATAGCACACATAATAGCAAAATTTGAGTGCATCAAGCTCGAAGGGAATAAAATTAGATAAAGAGTTGCAAAAATTAACCAACAGCTTAATAAAAGCTATCATACAAAGAATTTGAAAGCCTACATCCCGGACTTTCACTAAAGGTCAATGCTACGACCTTGCCCAGAAATGGCGTGATGTCAACCTAATGACCTTCTTCGGCGCCCCGCTCGAGATTGTCATGGAAAGCTCACTGGGTCCACTTATTATCAGGCATGATATGTCTCAGTGAGATTAGTGAATGCTACTTATAAATCACGCCACATTCACGCCTCATAGTTAAAATGAGCAGTTGAGAATCTCTGATCTCACCTAGACAAAAGACGAACTATCTTCCAGACATACTAATCATTAGAACGCCGTAACCTCGAAGGATGTTCATTTCCTAGACTAATTATAGAGTAGAAGTAGAGAAAATAACAGGTTATCGTTTCGTGACGGGAAACAGTTAGTAAAGATCACGTTCTGACGCAGTTGAGTTGTTGACAAACATGCCTGAGTGACGTAAAGACGCGATTCGTGATCATTGAAGAATAGACTGAAAGTGAAAGTGAAAGAATGAAACGAGATGGAAAGAAACTTTCGAAAACAGCAGAGGGAGACTGAAAACAAAGAAGCATTCTCAAGCCGATTTTGAAGATTTTTGATGAAGTGATACACATCTCAGACTGTTGAGGGAGTGATATGTTCTATCAAATAATTTCGTACAGAATTTACTCATAGGTTTGTATGAAAATGAGCCCGGTAAGTAGACAGGCTTTAGATATACACCATAAAAGAAAAACTTTCTCAGCAAATTTCACCTTTAAAATTCTGGAAGCATTCGCCTCTGCAAGACTACAATGTTTCTAAGTAGGAAAAAGCACTAAAGAGTGTAGACTCTCTACATTTTTTGAATTATTCTCAGGAAAATAAGCAGTCGATCCATTGCCACCAGTTACCACAAAGCGTGATGAGAAATAAGTGTGGATGCCATGAATTTGGATGGAAAAAAGACGATTCATATTCATCTTCCTTGAATGCAGGTATTTGGGCATATAGGTTGTGTATGATCAAAACATCAAGAGCAGAAAGCATTATGATAATCTGATGGACATACCCAGAAAAGATTAACCCATACCAAATTAAGAAACTTCGAGTGAGAAGGATAGTGATACATGACTTACTTCGCCTCCTAGACTTCTTGAGAACTGAAGTGGCTGCTGTTGCTTTGGGAATTTGTGAGTTGAACGCTTTCTGAGCAAGCCGCAACTGCGGTATAGTACCTCTGGTGAGTGTGGTCGTGGCACTAAATCCAACGGCCCTGTTGAACTAAAAAATGCTATTCTATCTTCCTAGGTAGCTTTAAGAATATGGAGATGAAGATTACCGCCAAGTTCCTCATGGATCCAACACGAATAGCATTTCCTAACAACTTCGGCAATGTAAGCAACATCCTTAAAAGCTTTTGTTGCATTCTCCCTCATTTTAAAATGATGCAAGGTAATCAAGTGGATAACCGGTGCATGATTTAGTTTTTTTTTATGTTCATCAAGAAAGATTTATGAAGTACAGTTCAACAATAACAGACAACAACGATAGCAAATAAATTTAAAGTGAAGAGTAGGTCTTCTGTTGGTAAATACAGATTCAGATGTATACAGAATACAAAAAAAAAATTCAAAAAAGCATGATTTTCCGCTTCATGGAGGCCGACCTGAATTTGGAAAGGATCTATAAAATGTCAAGGAGTGCCTAGTATAGTCCAAATCGCAAGGTGAACAATTAGTTTAGCGAAGCTCTACAGCATGCAAAATGAAATATACAAAACATCTCACATCTCAAAGAGATAATGGATTTTCATCTATATAATATCAAGAAACGAAAAGCTGTTGTAATCGCATCGTTACCTCAGCGAGTGTTATGAAGACATTTTCTTCTACACGTTCACTATTACTACCTTTGTGGGGAAGAGCATTAATCAAACGATCAAAGGCTTCTTCCGCGCTAGCCTCCGTCAGCGCTTCCTCTGCTTCCAACGCTGCGTCGACCCCGGCAACACCGCCAAAAACAAGCAGAACATTACTAAAAATCATATATGGGTGAAAAAAGCGCCAGATAATAGTAAAGATTCGAGAAAATAGCAAGAAAACTCACACACTATTTAGCGTGCTTACATACATATCGTTAACTGGTTGGCCTCTAGGAGATGTTCCAATGATCACATCAAATCGTCGTCTAAATCAGACGCAATGAGCTTTGACAGCAATAACATAAGGCGTAAATGAAGCAAATGGTAACCGACAATAAAAAACCAAAGCACAAACCTATCTATAACTTCTTTCAAACTTGTTGCTAATTGCACTGAGTAGCCCCAATATTTTCCTGTTTTCGCCCGTACTTTCCTGGCGTTCGACAGTTTTCCTCGATAGCGTTTTCCTTCTATAAAAAGAAAAAATGCCAATTATTTACAGCCAAGAAAAGGAATGGTCATGAAAAATAAGGCGCAGTTGAATGCGTATATTGAAAAATCATGGTAGAAGGTAAAATGATACCTTCTCCCAAATTTGCTATTTCGACTGTGACACGTGTAGAGGCAGGAATATGGATTTTGTCTTCAAGTTCAAGTTCCTAAAATCAAAGCAGAATACGAAAACGAAATGTTTAAGGTAAATTTCGCCCACCTTTTCCAACCCAACGTCGCAAAGCATCCCACGACCTGCTTTTATCGGTTTATCAAGGATCACTCCCTCTCTGAATGGGATAGAGAGGTCATCGCTTCGCAAATGATGGTGAGCATCAAGTGGATTCAATAGACCTATAACGCAGAAAATTCTCTTTCAAGTGCTGTTTACCTGTGCAAGAAGAAGAAAGGTGACATGGAGAGAGTGCGGTGAGATAGGCAGGGTTCATGCTGAGCCGCACAAAGCGGCACAGTTCCCGCACAGCTCGAACTGTGCTCGAACTGTGCCGCCTCAGTATGAACCCTGCCATAAAAAGAACGGTTTGAAAATGATACACAAAAACCATGTTTCTCACCTGCATATTTCAGCGGTTTCTGGAAAGAGAACAGATACTTCCGCAAGTATTGTGGGCATTCGACATATTCCAATATCCGAGCTAAGTGAAAGCAAGCCTCGAAATTAGCATCCGACAATGGCACATCTCCTCTCCACTTTCCAGACCAGTATGCTGCTACATTCCTGAAAAAATTGAGCTCAAAGTTGACTGTAAATGTTTGTTTTAGAGATTTTCCAATGAACACACTCTTGCGTCATCTTGCACGTTTCATCATAGACTATCACATAATCCACACAGAATAACGTAGCTGCCCGTGCGATCTAAAAAAAGAATTCAAAAAAAATCAAATACTATACGACAGCAATACCTGTCCTGCCATATATGTTCTCAATTCAGCACTCTGTCCATTATTGAGAAATGAGCCGGGGACAGCTATTGAGATCGAATATTTAATTTCTAAAAACCATATATAGAATCGCAAAGCTCATGATACACCAAGCTACCACGGAAAGAACCAAACCACAAAACGGTTACCTTTCTCGTTCTGCTCCTCAGCCAGTGGAACTTCCTTTTGTTTCTTTAATTCCAAATTCTCTTTGAGCAAAGCCTTTTCTCTTTTCTCAGCGGTGGCTTGCTTATCTAAAAAATCATAATTGAGTCGCTTCGAAACAATTACGTTAGAGAAACATCAAGTAACAGAATTGATGCAGCAAAAAACAATAAAAAATATCATACTCACATTCCCTCCAGGTCTTGCTTACAGATTTCCTCCTGAGCAATTTCTCTCCCAGCTTTCGCTGTCTTCGGCTAATATCTTTGTCAACCATTTATGTCAGAGAGAACAGAAGGAGAGCAAATACGCATGCAATTCTGAGAAAAACGAAGGCTTGTAGAAAAAATTACGAATTCGAATCTGGGCGTGGCAGTATTGTGAGCCGCAAATGCACACAGGCATTTAACTGCACGACATCAAATAAGGAACATGAGCATAGTTGCGATAGGGGGAGTGATGGATCTTACCCCCTTCACTTTGAGGCCAAACTCCGGATGACCCCCTTCACCTGGGCTGAGATTGGTATTGTACTCTGAGAATATGATAAAAATCGTTATTAAAAGGTTTTGCAGGCTAAGTACCTCAAACAACAAGTATACTCATAAATTACAAAAGAAACGGTATTTTATATTATTTATTTATCCTCGTAGCATTCATTTGGAGAGCAGAAAGTGAGGACAAAAAAGCAGTTGGCTCTTGATGCATATATAATCCCTCATATCTTGCGGCACAGAAGACCTAGAAAGAAGTCGACGGTCTACTTCGATTCCCCATGATCTCAGCTTTCGAACGGTATACAGCATGTTGGGGCTTCTCTGCTCCCCGGCTCTGAAAATCATTTGCTCCGGTAACCGATAAAAGCCAACACATTGTATAGGTCATCCCGAAAGTTCTTGCGCACGATTTTCAAAAATTCATAACTTCTGATTTTTCCAACCGATTTGACTGCTTCTATTTTCGTATGAAATAGTAAGTCATGTTTTTTATAATGACATCTTATTTATTTATTTATTTATTTATTTATTAAATACATCGTAGACGATGCACCACCTCAAAAATGAAATACAAACAAGCGATTCGATTAAATATGGAACGGGGTGGGAGAGAAAGGCAAGAATGACATCACATTTGCTCTCACTTTCGAGTCGTATCCAGACAAATCTAATAGAGTTCTTATATAATTTCGGGAAAATGATGCTCATGGGTTGCTAAAAAAGGCCAACATTGTTGGAAATGTGACTTCTGGGAAAGATGCCGGATGCATTCGATGATGATGTAGGTAAATAATGTAAAGGCGATGGTGTTGAGAATTAGAATTTAGAAGGTATGAGTGGATTTCTTACACATTATTGGGAGTTTCGAACACATGCATAGCGACCAGCAGAAGTAGTATATATTGCGCTCAAAATGCGAAGTGTCATGAAGTACCACCTGTGGCATGTCATTTTCGGTACATGATGTACCAGTCCATCCATTTATCCATCCATCAAATTGTCCATCCACTGATCGATCCATACCATCCATATGCATACATACATACATACATACATACTTGTGTCAGTTGATTACTTCACTAAATCCGCATTTGAGCAACGAAATGCTGATTGATGTGCAAGCTCAAAGCTTCCAACAATGTGCGTTGAGTTGTACAGATAAAGTAGAGAATCGGCTAGCAGGGTTCTCTAATACAATCATGGGTAAATAAGAGTTTCGTTGTTACTGGTAAGTGGGAGATTTTCTTGAATTGTGTATTTGAGATTCAGTCAGGATTGACGTGTACAGGAGAAAGGATACGATATGAAAGTAGATGCACTTAAAGAACTACCACTTGCATTTTGTCTCCCAATACATGCTTCGAAGAATAGTAGGGGATGGTAATCATAAGAAGACAAAAATTCAACAGAGAAGTTAAATACAATCTGAGCTAAATCTGTCAAGGCAATTATGTTCGGGATTTGGGATTTCCTCAATTTGTGTGGATCCAAGGTTATTAGTTCTATAGGAAGTTTATTCAATGCTTATAATGGTCATCTGTTGCATAGATAGGAGCGATAGAAGAAAATTAGTCAAAATTCGAATTTTCTGTGTAGGGTTATAAAAAATCGGAGACTTGCAACAAAAATCGGAGCAGTCAGTATTGTACGTTCTTTCACCAGCTCTTTCTAACAGTGCAAAGTTTGCGCCGATTGAGCGCCTCTGTGAAAAGTTATGATTTTCGAGCAAGCAATACAAAAGCGCTAATTTGGTTTATTTTGGCATTTTTCAGGGAAATCATAACTTTTCATAGACACGCTCAATCAGCGCAAACTCTGCACTGTTAGAAAGAGCTGGTGAAAGAACCTACAATACTGACTGCTCAGATATTGCAAGTGTCCGATTTATGACCCTACACAGAAAATTTAAATTTTGACCATTTTTCTTCTATCGCTCCTATCTATGCAATAGATGACCATTACTAAGCAGCTGAGATGTCTTTATAAAGATCATGACTTACCCTTTCACATAAAAGTGAAAGCAGTCAAATCGGATGGAAAAATCAGAAGTTATGAATTTTTAAAAATCGTGCACAAAAACTTTCGGGACGACCTAATAAGAGCGAGGTGGAGCAAGTTAATAGTAAAAAAATGTGCTGTGGATTGACATCGTTATCAGCACTGACAAGAACGTGAGCGAACGCGTTTATTTAAGCGTGCTTATCGTTTTATTTGTTTATGTTTTTTTGGTAAAAAATGCGCTTTTTATTGACAGTTATGCCATCATTATTAGCACATACTCAAAAAACTATGGGAGATTGGTAAATTTCCACACCTTCACACAAACCCGCCCATTTCTGGAATCTATACTCTGTAAACCTAGTGCTGAAGAAAGTCACTTTCGTGAAAACGCTCTAGACTCACCTTACCTAATTTGTAGAGAATGGTTGGTTTCAATGAATCAAAAACTTTAAAACATTCAGAAGAATAACATGCTATTAAAATATCCCCCAATGTTTTGTAAAGGGTGGCAGTTTGAAAAGGAAACGGCAGGCAGAATACTTTAAAAAAAACCGCAGATGACTCGCATGTGTTCCAGTTCAACAGCGAGACAGAAGGAGAATCTTACGCCGACCAAAATGTTGTCGAGATTGATACAGAGTTGACAATTGAGCGAAACTCTCTATTTCGTACATCAGAAATCCAAGCAGATTGCCTAGTTTCAATGAGGAAATGTCCAGGAAGTCCATTGCTGATCTTCAGGTTGCTGAAGATTTCAAAGCTTTAAATTCACAAACATGGATATGAACAAAAGGAAGGTGTTAGTACAGCATAGCTACTGCTCTTAGATCCCGACTGGAGTGCGAACTGTGCTTTATGCTTTTGGAAGTTATTCGCTTTGTGACATTATGACCTATGATATTGAAAAACCAACGCGCAGCATAGTATCTACTTTTTTCGGCTATTCCGCAGATGTTGTTAAAGAAGAAGTTGAGCAGCTTTCTCATCAGCTAACAGGACGTATGCCAGAGAAGGTGAAGCCAGAGCTCGACAAGGCCCAAAAAAGTATGCAATATTTCCTTTCCGTGTTGCGAAAGCATATGCGATCTGGCTCTTTTCCCATTACTTACCGCAAAAATCTGATGGACTTACTAGCAAAGCTAGTTTCCATTCCGACTAGCACGGCAGAGGTGGAAAGAGGATTTTCCATCTACTCTGTTATCAGAACACAACGCAGAAGTCGCACAACGGTGGAGCATCTAAGCAATTAGTTGTTGTCAACATTCTACTAAACATATTGTTATCTAAAAATTCGTTCAAAGGATTGCTATAAGTGGTCCAGAGAGGATGTCACCGTATGTCTTCTTGAAATATCCTAAAAGATGGTTGAAGAGAATGGTCACCTACCTGCTGACTTTCCTGGTGCTACGAGGGCGAAAAAAAAATCACAAAAGCGCTTAGAGAAGAAGAACGTTTCAAATCCATTTTCGACTTAGAACGCTTTTTCACGCAATTCTACTTCTACTCCGATGACCTTTTGGAGGAAGAAGAAAATTTTTCAGGCAGCGAACTTGTTGTCTCTGACGTTAGCGGTAGTGATATTGTTAACGATGATGTGCAGGAATTGAAGTTGTTCCTAACTTGTACATCTTTTGGCATAAACCTTATTGCTTTCATTTTTTGTTGTTGCAATGAAACAGGAGCACAGATCTTCATAAAGTCAATTTTTTGAAATTTTTTAATTTCTTTTAAAATTTTTAAAATTTTTTTCAATTTGTGCCCAAATAAGGTACAAATTAGAGCTCTTCATACCACGCTTTTTTACCTTTTCTCTCTTCCTCCCCCCCCCCCCAGGCTCACATACCCTCTTCACCTGGAAGGTCGGAAACAGCCGAGACCCCCTTCACCTGGAGAGAGCCCGGCTCCCACTATCGCACTTATGAACATGTGGCCCTTTTTTTTAAATGTAAAAATTTGTAAGTTTTTATATGAACAGCTGAAAAAGTGTTTAGATAATCACTGATTTCCTCTCGTCATCTGCTTCCAGAAAATATATAGATTGTGGGGAAAGGGATGCTAAAGGTACCTGGTAAAAGGGGTTGGAACATGGTATAAGGGCATGTTCCCTTAGCTCCTTAGGCAGGCGCCATACTGATCCGCTTGATCCACTTGATCCGCTTGATCGGCTTCACTATTGGTTAGTTCACTGAATTGACCAATGATGAAGCGGATCAAGCGGATCAGGTATGGCGCGTGCTTTAAAACGTTTTTGGAGGACATAAAGGAACATGCCATTATACCATGTTCCCACCCCTTTCACCAGGTGCTTTTAGCATCCCTCTCCCACAATCTATATATTTTCCGGAAGCAGATGAGAGAGGAATTCAATAAATATCCAATCACTTTCCCAGCTTCTCATATAAAAAAGTTACTAATTTTTATTATCAAAAAATGGCATAATTCCGGAAAAACGACGACGACCGATACTTTCACCTGATAGGAAAATTCCTTTTTTCCCGGCAACCTACATATTTTCTGAAAGCGGACGACGAGAGGATTCTAATAAAGCGCAAAAGCTTTTCATATAGTAAAGTTATGAATTTTTATAGTAAAATTCCCTTAATTTTAGAGAAACAATTACGACCACCTTCATCCACGAGAAAATCCTTTCTTTCCTGGCAAGCTACGTATTTTCTGAAAGCCTTCAAAAGAGTAATTCAATGTATAGCTAGAGACTCACTTGTCTTCTCATATAAAAGTTACAATTTTTTATAGAAAAATCATTCAATTTGAAAGAACGACTTTGACTATCTCTACCTGACAAAAAAATCCTTTTTTGCGGCAAGCTGTATGTTTATTGAAAGCGGATGGAATAAACTTGAACATTTCTTCTCTGCCTCTATACTCCTACTAGGAATAATATTATCATTTTTATTTTGCAACACTTGAACGTGATGTCCGTCATTTGTTATTATGTGTATACAGTCGCAAAGTGGGCAACAGCTCTAAAGAGTGCTAACCTTGTTCTGGAACTCTGGGCAAGTTGGAGGCCTGAGAAATCATCACGCATTTTCAAGTACTATCTGATCCATTTTCAAGTACTATCCGATCCATACAACTTCCATAATTCAATTTTATTCATCAAAACAATCAAAAGGTTAGATTATGACTGAGTTTTTCTCCTAAGATCATCTAAGTTTTCCACTCTTCTTCGATGGAAAACAAAATCTTTTCAGAATAATCAAGTTAATTATATGCGGTTGTCTCCACTTCTTGTATAGTGATAACGTGGTAAAACGCATACTGGCTGGCCATCGTCCTCCATGTTATCGTCCAAGTGGGCGGATTGTCGAAGACTCCACGATCCTCGTAGCTATGGCATTTCGACGGTAAGACCGACCCTGATTACTTAAGTCTTCGATATAACTGGTGCTCTTGGTTGCACCTGCTTTTCTACAAACATTACGATCTCTGCCAGAGTTTAGAAATAACAATGACTCTTTATGGAATCAATCAATGACTCTCATGGCTTCCGCCATTTGCTTAGAAACTTTATCCCTTGTTGAAGAGGATGCAATTCAATAATGCACAAAATCATCAAACTTCATTTATTATTTCACTTATTATTTCAGCGACTACGTGAGTAACTTAATGACATAATACACAAAGGCTTCACACGAAAATTTCGGCAAATTTCCGACGTAATTCTTACTGATGCAATCAGGTTTTTGATAATCATACCAATGATATTATGAATTAGAATGTTACTAGTTTATTTTTAATAATGCCGATAGTTTTATAATTTTGCTTGAAATGTTGATTTCTTAATCTCACTTCTTCCAGTTCTTCTTGGCCGTGGGTGAAGGGGGTTACTTGGCTTCCAGCCCAGGGATGAAGGGGATGAAAGCACATTTCCCCTTTTCACATGTATGCGTGGAGTGTTGCGGGGAGAGGGGGAGACCGTTGCCTTTGACTGCGGCTCTTTTCGACGTAGAACTTGCAACGTTTCATTCACATTTCCTAAATAGATTAAATAAGTAAAAATAAAATGTGCGACGTAACTTGCAGTTTTCCCCTACCTTGTGGAACTTCTTGTTCCGCCCCTAAAATACATCCTGTGGAGCTACCACATCTTTTACAGGCTGCTCTTTAGAATATTTAATGAAATGAAGGGCAAACGGCACATAATGCAAAAACGACTGAACGACTCGAGGCGATGTTAAGACAAGCAATGTCCGCGGTTTGGTGAAGCCCCGCCTAGGAACAACACGCGCTTTCGTAGGTGCATAAAGAGAGCTCATTATACTAAAACTGCATAAATCAGCATGTTAGAGGGCAATTTTGATGAAATAGCAAAAGGCGAATAGGAAAGATCAGTACTTTGCAAATCCACATTCGCGAATTCGCGAATTACTTCCATAATCCACCATGCAGCATGCTCCCCTTAATCAGGTTAGCCGTTCTCAAGCGGATAACTGCTTCTATCTTTTGACAAAAGAAATTATTGGTCTCGACAACTTTTTTCATCAAGAAGAGCGCAATTTGCTTCGCGTGGGATGCTCCTGTAGGGTCATGCGCGGCATGATTTACTCTGTTGTCTAAGTTTTCAAAAACATTACACGTACGATATTGTTCCAACAAGACTTTTACAGTCTTATATGTGTGATTATGCAAGAAAAGAACAGTGGAGCCGTAAATCAAATCCCCGCTTTTCCCTTCTTCGCTTCGCATGTAAACGAGACCCTGCCTAGTCTTCTTCAATCTTTTCCAGTACTTGTGACTGGAGTAACTTTCCCATTAACGACAGGGCGGCAACTAAACTTGATGCTCGAGCGCATACTAACATTCATTGGAGAGCACATGTGAGAAAAAATTAAGTAAGGTATGTCGGAAGATCAAAGAATACGTGTTTTTTCGGGTTCTTCCAGCACAGCGGTGCAGACACTGTTTTTGGGGATGTAATAGTTTATCTATTCCGAATTCGACGGGAAATCTCAGTATCGAAACCATTTTACCGCCGTTGTAGTGGACACAATCTGGGCCTACCTATTCGCTTGTTTGTTTTCAACCCTGTTTTTCAAGGAAGTGAACGATGCATCTGCTTCATTGTCTATTTCATCTGCTACCCCATTGAAAGGTGCCCGGACTTTTTTTCCAAGCAGATGTCTGAACAGTAACGTTGAAGTTACTTTATCGCATAAATATTTAGAAGAAAACAAAATATCCTTACATACTTGAATTTCAAACTCCACTTGTTGCATACGATTCATCACTCCTCAAAACATTTTCGTCGTCGGAAGGTACCCATACTCTTTAATTACTCATATGAAGCCCTTGGATGTAGCATATAGAACAACCGTACTATGCGTTCCTAGGAACTCCGTAGAATAACTGCTGAGACGAGTGTCTGAGTATGTCGCCGAATGTAGGGGGGTCCCGCGCAGATTTATTCAGGAACGCATCTCCGTACATATGCAATGGTGCGTATTTGTCGCAAATGACCGCGCGGACCGCCCCTTTTCGGCGGCTTATGGTCCTGTACCACCGTAGTATATGGCAAAAACCAAGTTCCTATTGGCAGTAATCTGGCATCCATGCGCAGTATGAGGGTATGAGAACCATCGTAAGCAGGATAGAGAAGGAGCAAGAAAGATAATAAGGCAGCAAAATATGACGCATCCCCTTTCAGAGCCCCTCCCCTTCCCAGCGTGGTACGGGCCTAAGGCATCCGCCATACTTATCCTCTTGATCTTCTTGATCCGTTTGATCAGCTTGATCCGCTTGGTCCGCTTCGTGCAAAATGCGCGCACACAGCAGTTTATCGTTTGGCGCCGCGCACGTGAAAAGGAATTTTGTATGGTTACGCCAGTTGGCTGTACGAGACGCAAAATGGCAAATTAGTGACGCGCGTTTTGCACGAAGCGGATCGAGTGGATCAAGAGGATCAAGGATGGCGGTTGGCTAAAAGGAATAAGGAACACTTACCCGAACGGGAGTTTGATAGGTACCGCCCCATAACTCACTGCGATCAGCATTACTTTCTCAAACTTGCTTCTTTCTGTTGCGAGACTGGAACGCTGAGATACTCAGCATGATGATCAGCACACATAACGTTAGAACCACAATGAAAAGTTCGGCTTTTGTAGAAATGGTTTTATGGTTTTCCTTCGGAGTTGGCAAGTTGTGGTCTAACTATAATTGACCTCCGAGGTTATAGGATGAATTAGCATAGGTGCTCGATCTACCAATTTAAAAATGTCCTTCAAAAAGCTTAATGCTTGCTCTGTTTTGATACTGACCAAGGAGTTCATAATAGGAGTGATGGCCAAAAATTTCTGGAATGTTTGCGTAACAGGGAACATTAGAAGAAGAGACCAAAAATGACGCTTTTAATATAGCTCCGTATCTCGGATTGAAAGCCGTTGTTTAAGCAATACTCACGGAAGTCTCCTGCTTCTATGTTGTGGCTCCAGGGCTGTAGTAAACTCCCTTCGAGTCGTGACGACTCGCTCGGAGCGCGGCAAATGCCCGGCAAATGCCTTTTTGCTGCCGCCCCATGATAAGGGATAGGCAACGTGACCAAGGCATATGCCCGGTGTCACGCCGCGGCAACGCCGCCGGCACGACAAGTCAGCACCAGCATGCTCGTTACGCAGACAGTCGAGAAATAGTGGGCCTTCATTGGAGACGCAAAGAGGTTACAATGCCGACAAACGGCTAGCGGTCGGGTACGTCCGGGGTAGTGGTGCCGCCCGCTGTCCGTAGATGCACGCAAAGGATCAAAATGCACGTCAAATACAATCAATATGAACAGTTGATAGCGCACAGTTGCGAGGCGCACAGCTAATCTTACTCCATTTCCTGCATATTTCTTCTCTTTTTGCTCCTAAACCTATACAAGGTAAGTAAATTTTGATTAGCATGCACCTTGAGGCCCTCTTCAGCCAAATTTGCTGCTCTTAAGCGTTATTAGCTTTGACAGTTGTTCTGCAGCTAGTTTGGTTTAATTGTTTTTCTGCATGCCATAATTTTACGGTTTCTTCCAATTTCATTTTTTACCAGGACTTTTGTCTGTTTTTTTGCTTTTCACTAGCTGTGAACCATTGTTTTCCTTTTATTTGAGTAAGGAACAATTGTTGCCGTGGCTAATGAAGTAGCATAAATTATACAGATCGAATTAGTAAAAGTCCTGAAATTTTGCATATTTTTCAAATTATTTTCACACAAATATTTTCTTTGCACGCCATTACCTCGAAAAGCTAAGTTCTTATAATCACTAAAAAAAACTTGGCATGCATGTGTTTTTTCATATCGCTTTGCAAGATTTGCCCTACCTGCGACTTGTGCTGCAGACGTCCAGCTCTATAGCGCGCAACACATCCACTGCGCTATCCGCACTGATATTGCCGTTCCAGATATCGCCCTCCGTTTATAATTGTCAAGTGATAGCTGTATGTACTCACAGGCGAGACTCGACTACAATAAGGCTGCTTACTAGTTTCAACATATTGCTTGAGGGCCTATCCATCTACCTCATGCACCTTTTTCTTGCTCACAGGTTTGACAGAAACATTGTTTATAGTGCAGTGGCTGGGCGCGCCGCACTGCGGTCATTGCGAGTTCGGCGACGGGGGATCGCGGAGGTTTTTGCGGCGGGCGGCCAGCGTCCGCCGTGCCCAACTCAGACATTCGTGGTTAACACGCGCAGTAGATCCGCCCACAAAACGGGGTAGCGCGGAAAAATGAGTACTGCTGCGGCATACGCGCTTTTGTTGCGACGTTCGGGCTAATCCCGAAACTAAAAAAGAGGCGGGAGAAATTCATAACACCCGTCGCGACTCCCGAAAATGGTTTTCGTCGCGATTAGTCGTCTAAATGGTCTTGTCTGTAATCACGCATGCTTCGCCCTAGGCGTCTAAATTCAAAAAAGAAGTTGCGCCGTTGTGTTAAGTGGAGCGGGCTGATTCTTCCGGTGAATTTGATTTTTGATATTTGTTGTTCGAATCTGTCTTATTGACGTAGTCTAATGCTTTGCTGGTTTAATGAAAATTTGATTTCATTCTGTCTTAAGTGTCGCTGTTTCCTTGTTTTTTGTTACGCATTGAGGGGTTAACGGTCAGGATTCTTTTTTGTCCCACCTTTACGATTGACATTCTTGATTTGAGTGTTCGATAAGAGTTTCTTTTTCCAGTTCTTCTCAGCGTTCGTTCTCGTTTCTTCATCATCTCGTTAGGAAGTGTATGACATGTTCAAACCCTCTATTCAGGTAGCAATTCGCATGCTTGACCCGTTGGGAGGCAAGCAACAGAGTTCCTGGTTCGATAGTCTCTCCACATCGTCGACCGCAATGAACAGTAACTCGTCGGGTTCATCCGGATCACTACTGAGTCTCTCGTCTCATCTCAGAGACAGCTCAGACGCACTTTCATGTCCCACTTGGCTCTTCAATAGTCAGATTGGTTCGTATTTTTGAACATTGCAAGACTTTTTTGTAGTATCTCTGATCACAATGCGAAACTCTTAGCATTAATTCGATTTGAATGCGCAAGACAAGCTAATAGGTATGACTAAAGATTTTTTAAAGCTCTCTGATTTCTCGTGCTTTCAGTTACTGGCATACGCTAGGAGAGAATGATCAACAACGCACGAAGACATTTGATAGCATGGTGCAAGCCAGATTTACTTGGAATGGAAATATTCGTTCAGCACTTACAAGAGCATTGTAGGCTTTCATGTACCCTCCAATAAATAAATATATATATATATATCTTCAATTCAGGGGAGACCTGCGCGCTTATTCGTTCAAGCCGGAAAAGAACGAACGCGTTCCCCCTCGGTAATATATACTACATCCTTTCTATGCACATCAGCCTTGAAATGGCATCTTTATTTCAGAAAAAACGCACTTGTACAGTTGCAGTGGCCACCGATCCGGTCCAGGTCAGGGATGAGGACAAAGAATATGAACTCGAAACACTTTGAAGCAAATCTATCACACATAAGCATTACTATTACTTTTGTTTGTTCCAACATGTTCTCATTATCACCGCACTAATTAGAAGAATTTCCATTTTTATATCCCATTCCACTGATGATGCTCTTGCTTATTTGTTTACATTCCTATAACTTGAAGATCCGAGGCCATATTCATTATTCATACCTTGAGGTAAATCCTACTTCCAGGTAGTTTAGTCACTCATTATCATAAGTTTTATCGCTGATAATGATGCCTGATAAAACTACCTGGGAGTAGGATTTACCTCAAAGTATCAATGATGAATACGACCTCTCAATTCACTTAGCCACTATTATACCATTCCATTTATTATGGTGCTCTTGCTTTGATTTGTTTGCACTCTAACTTCAAGATCTAAATTCACTTATTTTGTGTGTGCACTTGTTATGAGAAGTTCTCAATAAACATCTATTTGGGTACTGATAAGAGAATAAACTTGAAAACATGGGTATTCAATGCATTTCAAAAAATAACTAAGAGAACAGCGATGAGCGCAAGTTGCGCCGTAATTGAATTCTCAACATTACCGGGTCTTGCGCTAAAGCTCAGTTTTTCCCCCGGTCTGCGTGAGTGCGGGAGAATAACTTGTCTCGTGCAGCAATCTCCCGATCACTACGCCGGTGTCCCGAAATTCTCGCGACTGTTTTAATTAAGTCCCGCAGTCATTCTGTCGCTACATAACTTTTCTTTGTGCGCGAGTCAACCACGAGTGTCTGAGAAGTTGTGACGCCTTTTAAGCGGTCATGACCGCGTCTTCTTTGAGTTGTGACGACTTTGGGGGAATTATTACTGGCCCAGATTTCTTGTGGTTAATGTTTTGAATAAAAGCTCTAACGGTCCCTTATTTGAATTCGTTGCATGTCTCTAAAAGCAACTAATGCCTGCCCTGTTGTCCATCAGGTACAGTTCCATAAATAGGGGCATACGTTACAAAAAGGGCAGTGTGCGCTTCTGCTCAACGCATCTGTACACTCGCAATCTGATTACGTGACTATGTAGACTTTATGGGGAGTTTTTCCTTGCAATTTCCGCTTCCCTTCTCCAGCTAATGTAATCTTTTACGCCTTTTCCCATAAATGGATCGGAAACCTGTGGCGGATTGTTTATTATTGGACCCGATAATTGGCATTGGTTGAACAGCAGCGATCTTGAAATAACGATTATAAGATGTTTAAATTTCTGTGATACGGCATGTCCTCGACGATTGGGTGATCGACTAAGAAATCGGCACAGGAGTTGGCGTTTTGTTTAAGGAAACTTGCTTGAGACGAAGACGTTACCTCTAGCCCTGATTTGGGAGGGAGGCTCAACTACGTATTTCACCCAGAATATCAAAACCCATGAATGCCTTTGCTAGATATGGGTTGTACCCAGATGCTTGTCCTCCAGATACTAAATCATTGCTCGTTGCTCTTATACCTAAAAATGTGCGAGGATCTCTGTGCAAATTTTTCTTCGAAGATGTTCAAGTCAGTGATTTAAAGTACATCCTGCAAATCTTTATTAATCCTCAACCGCAAACGCGCGCGCCTGAAAACGATTAATTTTTGGGCTTCACCAACATATGCATAAATTCACAACCTCAATTTTGTTGTAGCTTTCAAAGTCTTATCATTATGCCATTGGCAATAATGTAATCTAGCCTCTGAATGTGGGAATGTCATGCGAAAAACGTTGACAAATCTTGGTGCTTCGTTTGCAATTTGCAGTGGCTGAAATCTGGTCTCTGCTGCTCATATAAACAATATGTACACATCTCCGGTTATCATAGCTCGAGAAGGATTGCGATAACAATCAATGCTGAATGTTTTTAAAGTACCCTAAAATCCGTACAATAAGTCCGGACTTATCTGCAGTTTCGAGGCGAAAAATCGATGAAAAAACGCCCTCTGCGCCGCCAAAAGTCTACCAGATAACTCCGCCTAAATTCACTATCAGATAAGTCCGCCTGTCCTGAGCATGAGCAAGCGCGCCTGGGAGCACAGACGCGCGCGACCGCCCGCGTGGCTTGCCAGTGTAGATTTAAACGAGGCCGCGATATCGCCTGAAAGAAAGAGCCCAAGGATTCGACAAGCCGTACAGTCTACTTGCTGGCAGTATCGTCGCGGATTCGTCATCGCATACGCTGGGTAGGTGAGTTCTTCTCTTTAATATGACATTTCTTTTGTATTGAAGTTGATGACACGATTGTAAGGTCGGATTCACCCCACTGCCAGCAAATACTAGGCAGGGGAGATTTTTGATATAGGCTAAATACAGTACATGCATCTCCTACAAAGCCTTTTTAGAACGTTGATCGTCGCGCATACTCCGTTCCAAGCAGTGATTGACGACGTACAAAGACATAAACGTCGTAGTTTTGCAAAAGGCTACAGAAAAGTTGTTTTGGATATCACATGTTTTAGTGCTTCAAACCAAGCCGTGAAAGCGCCTGAAAAGAACCGTCTGAGGACTTGAAGAGCAGTGAAAGCTACTTGCTGAAAATACAGCCGCGGTTTCGTCATCGCGTACGCTGGATAGGTGAGTTCTTTTTCTATATATGACACCTGTACGAAATTGAGCGATTTCTGCCGATGAAAAGAATCATAATAGGTTTCATCATTGTATCATTGCAACCATCTCATCATATCATTCATCTTATCGTTTTGGAGGCGACAATGTTTTCAATACATCTCTCGAACCTGTACAGGCTACAAGCCTTGAACCTGACTGCCTATACTTTTTGCTTCCTCTATTGTTTTCATGGTCTGAACGTAGTCTCTGTTGACCCACGCCATACGGCTTTTGTCAAATGCTTTGTTTTTTTCACTACGGCTTTTGTCAAATGCTTTAATGAACGAAAGAGTGGCAGTCTAAAAACGCTCAACCCTAGCAAAGCATTAGGCTTCTTTGTTCTTTTTCTCAATTGTTGTTTCATTAAGCCTGTACATCCAACAAAAGATGGTGTAGTCAAATTTGATGCCGCTTGCTTTTTCTTGTAAAAGAGTAAACCTTTCGATGATCAGCGCAAATTTATAGTATTCTGCGTGATTTCAGTGTGCAATGACCGCTAACTCAGCGAAGTTCGCAATCACGCAGAGCCCTATATTTCCGTCATAGTCTCACATACTATGACTCAAGCTGTTCAGGTGTTTCGGATCGCAATGGCTACCAGAAGGAAGTCCTACACCACGCTTTTTAAGCTTAACACTATAGATTATGCCTTGGAACATGGGACATCGGCTGCAGCTGCTCATTGCGAAATCTCTGCACGTCTGATTCGAAGATGGAGGGCCGATAAGGAGAATTTGGAGGATATGCCGCTGAGGAAACGCGCCAACCATTATGGGAAGCAAAAGGTAGAGGAGATGAGGAAGCTGTCTATGCATGGACTGTGCAGAGGCGGGAAGCAAGCAGAGCAGTGCTTGTCAAGGACATTCGAGCGAAGGCACTGTAGGTAGCGCAGGAATCTGGCCGGCAATCTGGCCGGCAGTACTTCAAGACAACGGAATCGTGGTGCAAACGGTTTACGATGAAAAGGAACTTAGTCGTTAGAAGAAGAACCAGCATCGGTCAGCCACGTTTTGATGAATGATAAACATGGAATGGAAACTGAATAAAGATCTGTGCTTTGATTCATTCTGAGACCAAAAAAGGCAGCGCAATTGCGCATCCTTCTTGTTTTCATCTGAAAAAAGCAAACTTATCTGCAGGACTCTTGGCGACTTTCGTTGTCACGAAAGCGAACTTAACTGATAGTTTCTTTGCGGACTTATCTGATAGGGCGGACTTATCTGATAGGCGGACTTATTGTACGGATTTTAGGGTAAATCGAAATCACAGAGTAGGTTGAAACATGCAGGTAGCCCTCCGTCCTTCTTATGTGCTACCATGGCCAGCATCGAATTATAACGGGCAAAGTTATGAGTGTGTTCAATGCAACCCCCTTCTTGAGAATTCTCTCAGCCAATCTATTTTGATGATACTATGATACTGAATTGGTCCCATTAAGTGCGGTTATACAGAGGTTGGTTGCTTACCCAATAGAATCCCTTTCCACTCTAATCATTTGAAATCCTGAGTAGACGGACATCATCATTATCTTTTTCGGAGTTCCTAAGAATGAGTTCATATCACTTTGTGCAAGAATCCAGGGCGAAGAACTGTATGTGTATACGAGGTTCCACAGGTTGTTTCGATCCACAAAGTAAAGTCTCTCTCTTTTCTTAGGTGGATTTTATTGAGTGGAGCAAGGTAAAATCCATAGAGTGCTCTGCGCTGAACCAAACTTATCAAAACAATAAAAACAACTTGTGCTATTTTACCTTCCAACAGACCCTCAGGGCTTATTCTTGCTCGTGATTCAACCGCAATGACGCAGGCTCAACATCGTGCCCGATATGGCACAAGCAGCCATGGATTTTTATGTTATCTTCGCTTTTGGCATGACCATTCATAAAACAGGGACAGCTAGGAACGTCATTCTTGCTGTTTACTCTTATTAAAGTCCTTTCTTGTAAGCTCCAGTACGGTTACATCTATGATGGAAGTAGATAGGTGAATTTATGTAAAGCTTATTAACTTCAGCTTAAATTGTAACTTTTTTCCGCCATCGTAGATTGATCGTTTGTAAAACGTGCTGTCAGATCTCTCGCGCTGCCCGTCTAACTAGACCTACAAACTCGAATGCAGGATCGCAAAAATTACAAACTTTAGTTGGCAGGATGGTGCGGAAGGAGAGGTAAACAGCGCCTCTTTCCGAGGCTATCAGTGATAAATTGGTGCCTCCTACAGCCCAATAATACTGTGTCTCAACCCTGTCCTCGCCTTTATCCTTCACGGGCCCCCATTACTGCAGTCATGCGTTTTGAATCACTCCAAATTGATGGTCGCTTCCAAAATTCAGGGCGAAAATGGTATAGTCCTATGGTATAGTCTCCTCTAT